GCCTGTTACAGTGTTTGCCTCCAAAGGTCAAATGTCTCTGTCTAGGATGCTTCATGTCCAAAATGCTGCTCAGTGAAGGTTGTTCTGTTGTACCTGAGGTAGTCTCTGAAGTTCTGTTACCTAGGGCAGTAGATGTGTGTTTATTTGACAGATGTACCTGTATGGAACGTGTTGCTTAGTGCACAATCCAGATGTTTTTGCATGTATTGCAACTTCTCTTCTGACCCGAGGTTATTGCTTTGTATTGTTAGTAAAGCATACCAGGCCAGCTGTTTTGCCTGTGTGCTAATAAACATCCTTTTCTTTCCTGAGTTCCACGAGTCCTCACTGGAATTTATTGTTTAACCCCTCGTCGTGAGAAATCCAACCTACTCCTGAATTACTGAGTCTCCTGGAAAAGCAAGTCATTAAAGGGAAAAAAAAATAGGTGAAAATTTTGGATCTGTAATGGGAAACCATGCTTTGAATTACTGTGTTTTACTCTTCTTTTTCACTCGTGATGCCTTGCAGCTGCCATGGGCATCACTGCTAATTACTGACATAGGGTCTGGACTTGTGTCTGCACATCCCTTGCTTTTTCTGGGATGGTGCCCTGGCCTGGACTTAAAAGAACAGCAAAGGCACATTTATACACAGGAAAAGGCAGAAAAGACAGTAGTTTGTAAGTAGGTCCTGTCCCTCCCCTTGTGATAGGAACACAAGCCACGTGGAGATAAAATGAGTTGCAAAATTGCAGAAAATAGTTGACAGAGGTTGGGAGTTCAAAACAGGTCTCCAGCTGGTGTTACATGCTTTAATCACTGGTTACAGCTTTTCTGTGTTTAACTCAGTAATTTCATGAAAACAGAAAGATTCCTCTGAAACTTGTTCAAATAACATTTTAAATAAGTAAACAGCAGTGGCACTTGCAGGTCTGTGTAAGAAGGAGATACAGCAAGTGACATAATAAAATCAGCCTCTATTCAGTACTCTCTGACCTTGTGGCCACATCTTCTCCATTCTGCTTACATTTTTGGTGTTTCACATCAAAACTGAAATTAACTGAGAGAGCAACGTACCCTTGAAGTTGTCAGCTACTGTCAGTGGAAGAAAATAAATTATAATACTTCCCAAGCAGCCTTGTTTATAAGTGCTGCAGGATCATTTAATTTCAAGTTTTCCCAACACTTTAAAACATAAATTTTACTTATGCCAAGCAGTTGGCTGTTTACATCTTTATTTTAAGGCCATCATTGTAGGATCACAGACTGGTTTGGGTTAGCAGGGACCCCAAATCCCACCCAGTGCCAGCCCAGCCACGGCAGGGACACCTTCCCCTGTCCCAGGCTGCTCCAGCCCCAGTGCCCAGCCTGGCCTTGGGCACTGCCAGGGATCCAGGGGCAGCCCCAGCTGCTCTGGGCACCCTGTGCCAGCCCTGCCCACCCTGCCAGGGAACAATTCCCCATTCCCAAGCTCCCAGCCAGCCCTGCCCTCTGGCACTGGGAGCCGTTCTGGACTCTCCAAATAAATCAGAGAGCACCCAGCCCTCTTTATTGCTGACCACAAAGGAAGGGCGAGCACGTGGTTAGAGGCTGTTCAAAATCCTCAGCTCTGTGAAGAAATTTGTCTTGACTGATGGTGCAAAGGCAGCGAATAAGAATTGTGAAGACTGAATTGTGCCTTGAAAGCTACACCCCAATATTCTGGCCCTATTCCTGGGTAGCCTTAAAAGAAGTAAAATTTGAGAAGACCACATTTTTGCTTGAAATTTCCACTTTCAGAGAGGCCTGAAGCAGTGACTGGTGCTTGCTGCAGCTCCTGGCTCTGTACAGGGGGGTTGGCAGCTGTAGGGGCAGCAGAAATCACCTCAAATTTGTTTTCTCAGAGGTGGCACCTGCACCATGAGACACTCTGGGTTGGGTGGATGGGCCAGAAACACTGACAGAATTATTGCTAAAAACTTACCTTCTCCCACCCCTGGAAGTTTATTGTACTGGGGACAATATGTACAAATCACATCTAGATCCTTGACATGTTTCATACACAGCAAATCCAAAACTTTTCCAGACAGAGGAGACACAAACTCTTATCAGGACCTCATATTCCATTTGAAATAGTAATATTTGGTTAATTCCATTTTGTTTGCTGGGAAAATTTCATATCCTATGGGAAAACCATCTGAAAAAAGAGCCTTTTTCTTTTTCCTTCTCTAACCATTCCTTCCCGGGTTTCCATGACAAAGAAATGCTGGAGCACCATGGTGGAAAGAGAGAAGGTCCAGAGATCAAGACTGAGCTCTGTGCTTCTTGTGACACCTTGTCTGCTGTGGTTTCCTGGTCATTGGTGGTTTGAACCCCCGGACAGTCACCATCTCAGAATTTATTCACTTGTGTCTGCAATGCAGCTGGGGGGGAAAAAAAAAAAACCAAAACCCCAAAAAACCAAAAAAAACCAAAAAAACAAAAAAACCCAAAAAAAACAACAACAAAAAAAAAAAACAAAAAACAAACAAAAAAACAAACAAAAAAAAACAAAAAAAAAAAAAAAGAAAGACCACTTCTTGGATTTTGGAGATTCCTGCTTTTCCAAAGGGTCAGTTCCATGAGCAGGAAAACCTTTTCTCCTCCCTTTAGCCAGAACACACGCTGCTAATTATAGACAGCCTTTCCTCTACTCTGTAGTGGATGTGCTGCGAAGAGCAGCTTTAATAAGTTAAAAATAGCTGGGGTTATTTTTGAGGCGTTGCTTGGGCCTCGTTGAGCTCTTTATTTAGTGGAGATGCATTATCACCTTGGGGAGCCTTTCTGTGCAGGAGTCACAAGGGTGGGATGACTGCTCTGTGCATGCTTTGGCCACTGTGTGCCATGACTGGCACCGGGTGCTGGATTTACCCCCCAGCCCCTGTGGGATGCAGGCCTTGGATCCCCCCAAAAAAGGGATTTTTTTCCCCAGGCTGAGCCCCCGGAGGCTGCGCAGTGTAAGGGGATATTGAGCATCCACAGTCACGAGGAGCTCTCAGGGAGAGGTCAGGGTAACCCCTGGGTATCAGCTGTGCTTGCTCTGCTCCTCTGCCTTGTTCTGAATCCCAGGAATTACAGAGCCCTGGAGCTGGGAAACCAGGAATTGCCATTACACCAGGGGCCAATCCAGCCTCCCGTATAGAATGACATTGTGTCCAGTGGCTTCTGCCGCTCTAATTTAGCAGAGCTCTGACTTTGGCAGCACGAGAGACCGATCCGTGTCCTTGCACAGCTCCTCAGACCACACACAGCCCCCTCCAACCCCAAATTCCACACGCAGGATTTGTGGGAGCAGCTCAGCTCGTCACTCCTGTCCCGGCTCCTTTCACTGCTAATGAATTATGCCCTGCACACGGGAACTTGACTTTGAATTAATTTTCTTCTACATAAGTGTGGCAGTCAGAAGGGCCCTTCCATGACAGACAGTGACCTTTGCCTGGCCCTTGCAGGGCACTCCCCTGCCCAGCAGCTCCCACAGCAAGCTCCAGGTGCTGCACAGGGGCAGTGGATTGGCATGAGCTGCACCTGAATGAACACTCAGCTGCTGCTGCCTCCCCAGCATCAGCAATGAAACCACAGCAGCACTCCAGCTGTTAGATAATTATATTAGAGATGAAAATAGGGGGTAATTTATGGATGAACCTTGGTGCCCAACTGTTTCAGCAGCTGAGTTCCTCACAAAATAGACCACAGACCAGCAGTAAAGCCAAACTATTTGTTAAGTATTAATGATATATTCTTTAGAAATCATTAGGGAACTTGCTAACCGTGGTTTTCCCAGTGTTTGAGCTGTAAATTCACAGAATGGGGTTTGTTTGCATGTTCTGTTCTCCCAGGCTCTCAGCTGGCAAATAGCTTGAACCTCTGCCCAACCCAGCCAGGCACTTCATGCCATCCCCTGCTTCCAGGGGAAGTCCTGGTCTCCTCAAGGCCTTCATGGGAAAAAGGTGAAAAATGTAAAAGTAGGTGTGTGCCTCCATCACGAGCCATGGATTTGCTGGGCCCCTATTTCCTTACTCGTGTTACCTCAGGAGATCCACAGTTGGTTTTTTCCTCCATCAACACCAGGAACACACTGTTGGTTTGATAAAAAACTGGTGTGATCAACAGGTTCTTTCCAGATGCATTGATCTGGAATGGCTGCTTTGGTTTTAATTGATCTGGGTGCCCATGGCTCCCATTAGCCCAAAAAAAGGCATGACATTTTTGGGCAGAGATGTCTGTGTTTTGCACAGTTTCAAAGTTCTGAAATACGGGTTTAGGACGATCCTACGTAAAATTAAAAGAATATTAAATGTACAAAGGGAAAAGGGTTTTATTTAAAGCTGCACAGTGCTGGCCTCTGTGCTCCTCTGTCAGCCCTGACACATGCTCAGCTCTGGTGGGAGCAGAGCCAGGTGAATGAGACTGATTATTCTTTCATGGTTTCCAAACCACTGTGTGTTATTTCCTACTGTAATTCACTCCTACATAGCTATAGAGACACAGCAATTCCAAATGCAATATAGTAATGTAATAACAGTAATTCCACATGAGAGGCTTCAGAGGCCACTTCATGTTTCTGGGCCCTTCTGCCTTACAAACAGTCAAGAATTAATGCCATGAATTAAAAAGTAGTAAAGGGGAGGAAAAACAAGCCCCGAATTCCCTGCTGTGATCTGAGCTGCCTGCCCTGACCCGTTCCCACTGGGGTGGGAGTGAGGAACTGTGGCAGTGGTGTCCCCCTGCGCAGGCCAGGGCAATGCCACAATTTTGGCCAGGACTGACCTTTCCCTTTTCTTTTTGGCTGCTCCTGAGGGGGTGCCTGGAGCAGGACCAGCCTCCCTGCCCGTGTCCACCTGTGCCCATCCCTGCCCACGTCCGTCCGTCCGTCCGTCCGTCCATCCGCAGGCGTTTGGGGGCTGCTGCCACATCCTGCTGGTGCCCTCAAGGGCACCCTTGTGCTGGCAAATGCCACTGATGTAACCCAGCCGGGCAGGATTGGCCCCTGCTGCAATTATTTTGGTTTCCCTCACCTCCCTGTGCCCGTCTCAGGTTACCCGGGCTCCTGTCCGTGCCCAGCCTCTGCTCCCTCCACACTCTGGGCTCGCTGCAGGCAGCAGGACGTCCCTACCTCCAGCTCCAAGGTCAGTCAGACTGCTCATACGTTGCTTTTCTAGCCTCAAAACGCAGCATTTCCAATGCAAGGGCTGCTAAAAAGCGAGTCAAAGCACCACAGCGTGGTGGCGTTGATTTGGTTGTAATTTATGGGTTTGTGGAAGTTGGGAAGTATCTGCCAACCCCTACTATGCAGCTGCTCCTAAATAATCTAATCACAGAATTATTAAGATTTAGAAAATACCTCTAGGGTCATGAAGTCCAGACATTAATGCTGGCCCTGAAGTAACAAGTTTAGTTAGAGGAAGATAAGTCTCTTTGCAGATATGTAACAAGTTCAGAGAAAATGTCTCTAATTACATGAGTTTTTTGTGGTTTTGATTGTAGCTCTCTGCACTGCGAAGATGAGAGGTTTATACTGCAAAATGGCACCAGATTGGCTCAGAAGGGTGAGCGGTGCCTGCACCTTGGCTGGGCTTTGGCAGGAGAATTTGGGCATCTGGGTCTCACCTGGTCGGGTCTGACCAGCCAGACCTTCAGCTGACAGAAACCAAAAATCATGGTGGGACCAAGGGGTTGTTGTCTGATCTATGAAGAGCTGCCATGCCTTCTCTACTCACAAGAATCTGGTCACAGGTTGCATAGTTTGGAATTTTATCCTTTTTTTTTTTTTTTTTTTTTTTTTTTACAAATTAGTAAGTGTTTATAACCATTCTCTGGAATTACGAGGAGGAAGAAACTGAAAGGTGCTTGATGTTTTTGGTAGAGATGTTCCACGCTGTGATTAAGGCACTGTCAGAGCCATGCCTGCGCTTGGTGTTGTTTCTACACTTCAGAGACTGCATCCCCAAACCCAGATGAGTCAAAAGGGTTTGAGTGATGCCGAGGGTGAGCGGGGAGAAACTGCAAAAAAAAAAAAAAAAAACCAAAAAATCACCAATTTTGCTTTATGAGGTTGGCTGCTTTAATGCGAGTCGTATCCGCTGAGCTGCAGGGTGATGCAGCAAATCCCAGAGAGATGTAAACTGATTTCTGTGTGCTAAAAATGGCCTGTGAGGCGAGCAGTGACTCATGACAGCCACTGCAGATGTTCCTGAGGCTCCAGAACCTTCCATGGACGGGCGGGGAAAACTTTCCACTGCCCTCTGCGGGCTTCATCAGGGGCTGAGGATGGCTTGGAGGAGTTATTTCCCAAAGATAAAGGCCAGCTACCAGTGTCCCTGTGCCACGTGAGGGGCCAGCTCAGCACGGGGGTGGCTGGCTGCAGAGCCCCGAGGGATGAGCTGTGCACACACAGCCCCAGTGCTGCAGAGCCCACCGTGTGAACCTGAGCTGGGGCTCTGCCATTCCTCCAAAATGTCACTCAGGATCACATGGCGTGGCAACTGATACCACCCATGACACGGCTCAAGTGTTCAATCCACCTCTATTTCTAGAAATGTCACTGTAACCCTGGCGCTTCCCTCCAGGCAGGTGTGAAGTATTGGAAAACCAATACCTGTTCAAAAGCACCCAGGGGAGGATGGAGCAGGAAACTTCCTCTCTAAAAGACATTCCAGAAAGCGACGAATTAACAGGAAAAGCACTTTTTAATGTCACTTTTAAAAGAAATACTGAAATCAGTGGTGCAGCTGTGAGGTTCCTGGGGTTCAGGCTGTGCTTAGAGCCCTTCCACCTGAAGTGACACCTCAAAGCTTTGGGCTGCTCTTCGGCCAGCACTGGATTTGCTGCAGTGATTTCCTCCACACCTTGCTGCTGGCCTTTGTGGCCATTCCCAGTGCATGGCCGGTGGCACAGACAAGAGGATGCAGTTCCAAACTGCGCTGCTGGCAGTGTCCTCAGGGCTGGCACGGGGAGCTGAGCAGAGGGACAGGGGCTGTGACCTCCAAACCGTGACCTCTGGGACATGTGCTGGCTCACGGGCCATGGCACGTGGGGATTCTGCCCTGGGAAAGGCAATTCTGGCTGTGTCCTGCACTGCCTGGCACCGAGGGGGTGAGGATGAGGAGGGGGCAAGGAGGAGCCCTTGGCTGGCAGACACTGCAGCTGGGCTGGCTTCACTCAGAGTCGGTGCTGCACATCCCTGAGCGGGAGGATTCCCGTGGGATTACCCAAAACTGCTCCCTGTGGAGGCAGCCTGCTGCAGGGGGCTGTTGGTGGGGCAGCTGCTGTGTGCCCCTGCCCTGCACAGCAGCATTGTGCCTTCCTGAGGGGTGCCACAAGCACGGGTGACCTGGGGAGTGGAGCTCTGCAGGGCTCTGTGCCAGCCCCAGGGCAGGGAGCTGTGCTCCATCCCGGGCCATCTCACAGCCTGGGGGGCACAGAGACATCCTCTGGAGTTTGGGGCACTGCTAGAGCAGGCTGAGGCTAAAGGGGGAGATGCACAAGGCAAGCCGTGCAAACCTTCTGCCAGGATCACAGCTAACCCTAACCCTAACCCTAACCCAAAGCCAGCCCTGCCTGCAGTGGGGTCACCAGTGGGAAGCACTCCTGGGGCACAGGACAGGCTGCAGGGCACAGCAGGGCAGCTCAGGGGGGTCACACCTCTGAGCATTTCTCTGGCATCATTCCAGTGATGCCAGAATATCTGCATCACTGCACTGCTCGTGAAGGGGCTGCCTCTTGGTGTGCTTTCCCACCACATCCTGGAGAAGGAGTTTTATTGCTGCAGAGCACTGCCTGAGTGATGACATGATTGATGTCTCCTGCCAGGAATCCTGAGAGTCTTGTTAAAAATCAAAAAAAATAAAATCATTATGGTTTATACCCAGAAAAGGTGTTGTATCTAATCACATAAAAATCAGTTCTCTCTTGGACAAAGTACACAGTAATAATCAGTGCAAGTTTAGATGTAGCTAATCCTGCTTATAATAAAGCCCAAATTCTCATGGAGCTTGTGATGGACTGAAAGAACTTGAAGCTTATGGAAGGTTGGTGCAATTAATGAACCACTTACCACAGATAAAATTTTAAGTAGAAACCACTACATCATAATCAAGAGCCCTGTAAGAATTTTTTGTCAGTGCCTTCAGAAGCCTCCTGCAGACAAGAAAACTCCTTTGCTTATGAGGAGGTATTCTAGCTTAAAACATAAATGAAAGTAATGGTAAAAAATTGGTAAAATGGTAAAAAAACCCTGGTGGGACTGAGAGGGTTGCAGACAAGCCCACCACAGGCCATTGATTGAGACTGAACAGAGATGCAGGCCAGCAGCTGGAGGTTTGGGGTTGTTTTTTTTTAACCTCAGGTTGATTAATCCTTAGAACGTATTTCTCTTTTCCAGCCCAGGCTGTCTCTAGATGGGTTTGAACAGAGAACAGAAGCCCTCCTAAGGGAGGTGTTCCCCTTCCAGCACGCCTGGTCAGCTCGGGAAAACACTCCCTTCCTTCCCAAGGGTTCAAACCCATACCCTCAACAGCTCTTCTGACTGTGAAACGCCGTTCTTTCCCCTCCCCACTGCACCACAGCACTCACAGGAGCAGGGATTTCCTGTCCTGGGCACAAGGGGAGACACTCAGCAAAGCCCTGCCAGAGGAAAACCTGCCGTTCCACTTTTTAGGCTCTGCAGTGGCCAAATTACCCTGATGGAAGTGAAATCCTGGCAGGTCCCCCAAGGATGGTCTGTGCTGGGGCTTGAGGGGCAGCACAGCAATCCTGGGGACGTGCTCCCATGGAAAACAGAGCCCTTTAATCAGGATTAAAGATGGTGCAAACCCACTGCAGAGCCAGGCTGGCCATTTCTGTGGGGCAAGGAGAGATGAATACATCAATGACTCGAGGTCAGACTTCACAAAAAAATGCTTTGATGAGGATCTTCCCTTAGTTTGGGGCCATTCCATCTGGGCTATTTTCAAATGAATCTTTTAAAATGTTTGTTCTGAAGCAATGCATTACTTAAAAATCATCCTACCTTTTGAGGAATGGACCACCCCCCCCATCCAACTGATATTGTTTCCTGTCCAATAAAGCTCCTTGTTCACTTCGTGCCCTCTTTTTGCAAAAACCCCTTTCTGCTGGGCTGCACACCTTGTTTTTGAGCAGCCTGTGCAGTTTCTGTGGCAGGACATCCTTGCTCAGGACTGGAGCCCACCCGTGTGGCCACAGCCCTGGGCTGGAAAGGGTTACACTCCCTTTCCCACAGCACTCCAGGTGATGTTTTCCCTTGTCCTTTCACGGGACAATCACAAACTGGCAATTCCCTGCTGCCATCAGTCCTACCTTCCACTGCAGAACAGAAGTGTGGTTAACCACCTTGGTTTGTTTTTTTAAAGAAAACCCTGTTTTACTCTGTTTTATGTTTTTTTAGGTAGACAACCTGCGCAGTCTGTGGCGTCTCCAGCGTGGGAGGCTTCCAAGAGCTGCCAGAGAAGCGTCTGTCAGGTAAAGCAGAGCCTCCCGAGGGTCAGGAGAAGCTTTTCTGAGCTCCAGCAGTGCCAGAGCAGCCACAGAGGGACACGGCTGGGGCATCCCAGAGGGATAAATCCCCCGTGCTGAGGGGGTTAAAGCCCAGCAATAAGGGTGGGGAGGGGTCCCCAGCCCACCCAGCAGCCTGGCACATCCCTGGCACAAAGCCTGCAGCTCACCAAGGAGCTCTCCTTGCCTTTTTGGGAAAGCACCCGTCCCTGCAGGGCTCATCCCTCCTCTCCCAGGTGTTTCCTCTCCCAGGTGTTTCCTGGCAGGCTCAGGATTCTGTTTGCAGCCCCAGCAGAGCCTCCTCCCCAGCCTGGGCACCACAGAGCCCTGCAGCCTCTGCCCTGCCCATTCCAGGCCACAATTCCACAATGCTGTGCCTTCCTAGCACACCCTGCAGTTTAATCAGATGTTCAGACCACATCTGTCCCTTAAACAGCACAGAAAATCCCAAAAACCCCGCGCTGGCGAGCCCTGGGCTTGCTCAAGCCATAAAATCCTCATCTGCAGTGGGGCTCTGATATGGCTGGCAGATTTCAGGACAGGTTTTTGACAGCCAGCCAGCTCCTCGCGATGGTGAAACAGAGATAAAAATGCACGGAGCTGTTGTGGAAATACACATCAACAATAGCTCTGCGCAGATTAGTCACAAGGAAATATTTCCAGAGTGTAGGATGAGGGTGCTACGCCGTGAAAAGGCACAAGAACGATCTGCTGAACACACAGAAAGGAAAAATCTCCACCAGAAACCTCTCACTTGGTTTTCACCTGCAGCCAAACACTCTCACACTGCATTTTGGGAGGGAAAATCCTGTGGCAGTCACAAGAGCCCATCCTGAAGCTCACCTAAATCAAATCACAGATTCAGGGAGAAAGTTTCAGTGAAAAAATACTGAAATTTCTGTCAAACAATCAGCACCTTTCTCTGGAAGTTGTATTAACTGTATATTGTGTTTCAAAGGCATGCAGGAGACAGAATGGAAAGATTCTGGTAAAAAGTTGCTGAGGCACAACAGAGGACACAAAACAAATTATTCCAAACTTGGAACATATTGTGTTCCTCATCTCACAGGTGTGACTGACATGGAAAGAAAATACTGATTTGCAATATAAAAATATGCAAGCACAGAAGAACTTTCTGCCAAGGGAGAAGAGAAAGGTGCAACATTGCATCTGTCTGGACAAGAGAGAGAAAGACAAATAAGTAAAGGGTTTGGGTCTAACTAACCCAAATCTGTAAGAAAATTATTGGGAATTTGCTCAGTAAAAATAAAATAAAATGCTTTGAGGAGTTTAGTGTAACATCCAAAACAATGGTGAAGAGGTTGCATAAAAAATCACACTCGAAACCTTTTGGTAAAACAACTGAAAGAGCAGATCTTGGAAGAAATGTCAGGGTTTTTTGTAAATCTTCCATGCTCATTTACCAAAGGTGATATGCCAGAGTCCAGCTTGAAGAAAACGCTTCTGCCAGTTGCAGAAATTAGAATTTAGATTAACAGAATTGTCCTTTACTTCGACGAGAGCTCTATCTTCCCAAGGAACTCATGGTCAGCAGCAATCCTCATCCAAATCTGATTCCTGTAAGGGAAAACCCTCACTGCCTCCTTCAGAGAGAACACCCCAATTTCCTGGAAGCAAGCAGGACAAATGTATGTCATAGAGCTCACGTGCAAATCCCCAAATCTCTCTGGACTCCCCAGAGCAGCACGAGCTGCCAAGGGAGGTGAGTTTGCTGAGCTGTGGGTGCTGCTGCAGTGCTGCAGCTGAGAGAAACAAGCCTCACTCTTTAACATTTTTAAATTTTAATAAGGGGTAAAAGGGACTTTTGTAGCCCTGGGTGCATGGCTGCCAAAGGTACATGGTTAACTATAACAATTATTCTTCTATTCTTTCCTGTTCTATTTCTATTTTCTATTCTTTTCATTTTATTGGTGAAATACATATTTAGGATGATTATACATATTCAAACAGTCCTTTGAGTTCACATTTTCTGCGAATTCTTCTGTTTGGTCTGACTCTTGACTGGTCTTTTTAAAGTATATATAATACTGAAGATGAAATTTATATGTTTAATTTCCTCACAAGGCCCCTCTGCTCTGTGATTTAACAACTCTTGATAGATGAAGGGTCAGTGGTAAATTCCGCTTTGCAATCTTTCTTCCAATGTTTATTTACTTGGTTTTTTAAAATGTTACCTTACCATACAGATAAGATACTCCACCAGTACATCAAATCAAAATTAGCTATTTCACACAATGTTGAGGCAAACTCCCCGTGTGTGGAGACACGAGGCCTGACTCCATTTTCTCAGAAGGCTGATTTATTATCTTAGGATATATATTAAAATACTGCATTACAACTATACTGAAAGAACAGAGAGAAAAGATCATCAGAGGGCTTGAAAGAACAAGAATAGAATTAATAACAAAATCTTGTGACTCTCAGGGTCGGATGCAGCTGCATCTGTGACTGGCTTTTAATTAGAAACAACCAACATGCCCCAATCCCAGCTGCACCCGCTGCACTCCACAGCAGCACACAGTTATTGTTTGCATTTCTCTCCTGAGGCTCCTCAGGAGGGGACAAATCCCAGCAAAGGATTTTTCATAAAATATCATAGCTACAACACAATTCTCCACATTTTTCTCACCATTGTCAGTTTGTTACGCAAGAAAAGGCATTAAGTACCTCAGCAACAGTTCACGTTACAGCACACAGCCTCCGTTTTGACATTTTGAGAGACCCTGAACCACAGCGCGTTCGCCACGCCGAATTCATCGCGCGTATTACGCGCGCGACCGACAAATTAAAAAAAACTAAAAGCAGGGAAGAAAGAAAAGGCGGCTACAAACGGCCCCAGCTCACAGCAAGGTGCAGAAGCCCCGGAGGGTGGTTTGGGGCAGGGCTGACCCTGGCTGTGCTCCTTGCAGGGAGGAATGGCTGGCACCTTCTGCCGTCTCCTGGCCGGGCGCGCGGCGCCGGCGCTGTTTGCCGCCGCGGGCACGGGCGTGCTGGCCACGGGCTACCTGCTGGGCCAGCACAACTCCGTCAGCGCCGCCGTGCAGGAGAAGAGGAAGCTCTTTCCGCCCAGGTAGGCCCGGGGCAGGGGCAGGGTGGGCAGGGAGCAGCGCGGAGCCAGCCCCGCGGCGCGGGACGCCGAGCGCGGCCGCGCTGCAGGGCCGGCGGTGTGGGGCTGCTTGGGGCGCCTGCCTGGAGCACAGGCTGGGCAGGATGGAGAGGAGAAAGCAGGTATTTGTTAAAGGCCTTCAACAGGTACATGTTGGGCAGACAGGAGCCTCCCAGAGGCTGCACCCAAGGTGGACAATGGTCATGATTTTTTCAAGATTTTTTAAGTTTGGCCCACTTACATTTCAGGATTTAACTCTCCAATTCCAGTTTCAGGTAATGAAGTCATTTCCCCCCAGTTTGTTCCCCCCAGTTCACTTTTGTTTATACTTTCAGGGCCTGAGGCTGTAGGGTGTCCTTGAGTTGCGGGCCCAGAGGGATTGTGTTGTCTGACCCAAATGTGAAGACACTAACTAACTAACTGGGTGCATGGCTGCCAAAGGTACATGGTTAACTATAACAATTATTCTTCTATACTAACTAACTAACTAACTAACTAACTAACTAAACATTCTATATGGGGTTCACAGTTATACCCTAAAGCAGCACAGCATTTGAAAACTATAACAGCTAAAATCCTAAGGCATCAGTGAGATAATATCAGCTCCCAAAAAACGCCCCCAACCTGACCAAAACCAACACTGCTGAATGGCAACAAGCCCAATATATGCCTCAAGTTTAATACTATATTTAACTCATTTATATTTAAGTCATCACCAACCAACAGCTTTGCAGGTCCACCTACTGGACCTGCTGATTGTATGGACTCTGCTACAGGGAAATGTGAAAATATTTTCTCCATGCAAGCAGAATTAATCTCTTGTATTACTGCTGTACTGGAAGTATTCCTAATTCTGTTACAAACTGGCTGGCTGATGGTTAGAAATTAATTGCAGGCCTTTTTCTCTGTAGATTGACTTTGCCAAAGGTAATGTGATCCTGACAGACTGGTTTTGCTACTGAAGTAATTTATACAATTCTAGCTAAAATATATTCTTAGAGAAACACAACCACAGTTGCACATAAAGCAAATCACTACCAGTACAAGATAGCTGGGGACTGGCAGAGTTGAAAAATCCCTTGCTGAAGCCTAACATCTTTATTTCCCCTGTCTCCATTCAGCCTGCTGCTTTCTGGGAATAACAATGCCATGACACCAAACCCTGGTACCTCAGAGGAGGCTCTGCCCAGCTGGCAGGTCACACAGTCCCTCTGACCCCCACGAGGCCCTGAGAGCACCTGGGGCTGCAAACCACAGAGCAGCCCTTGCTCCACACTGAAATCTCTGTCTAGCTGAACAAATCAGTGCTGGGGCTCTCTCCTGCCTGGCCAAGGCATCTCTGGGTGCTGCTTCTCTTTCCCTGGCTGGCTGATGACAAGAGGGGGGGTTCCCCCTCCAGGTTCCCCCTGGAGCTCCGTTGAATCCCAGTTGTCAATTGTTTCATTGCAATATAAAACACAGGCAGTGCACACGGGTCCCAGGGAAACTTTATTTGATGGCAAAACTTCCCCTTTTCCTCTCCTGGGACCCCGATCAAGGAGCAAACAAAGACTTATATCTCGGGAGAAAGTCAGGGGAAGGCACAACTTTCAACAAATCAGGAGAGTTGGGAGTAAAAAACCTAGGTGGGTATAACAATAGTGAAACAATAAACTTCCAAGGGAGGAAAAACGGTTTCAATAAACGGGTAAAGTTTGGAGAAATAGAAACTAGCTGATGAAATAACTGGGAAAAGGCAGAGACAAAAGGAAAACAGCACCAAGGAAGACCACCAGATCACAAACCATAAACCTGCTAATACCACAAAAAGCACGATACAGCATCAGGGGGGCTCAGTGCCCCTCCAGACCCCTTTGGGCGCCGTCTCCCTGCCGGCCGCACACAGCACAGCGCGACACGGGGTACCCTCAGAGCCTTCCCTCCCTCCTGGCACCCCCTGCAGCACGTACACCGAGAACAATCACACCTTCAGCCTCCAGGCTGTGCGGGATGGGTGCCCAGGGGACGCAGTAACGCCTTGGCTTCTCTCCCCGCAGCGCTGACTACCCCGACCTGCGCAAGCACAACAACTGCATGGCCGAGTGCCTGACCCCGGGCATCTACTCCCGCCTCCGGGACAAGATGACCCCCAACGGCTACACCCTGGACCAGTGCATCCAGACCGGGGTGGACAACCCCGGCCACCCCTTCATCAAGACAGTGGGCATGGTGGCTGGGGACGAGGAGTCCTACGAGGTACGCGGGTCCCACGGGACTGGCCGGCTCTGTGCTCGTGGTGTCCTTCCCGTCAGCTGGGAGCATGTTCCCAGGACAAGTTGTGTCCCCGAGGGTACTTTGGGGGCAGGTTGGTGTTTTCCCTCCTTCTCCCTACTTTTGAAAAGCGGGAGCATGTGGTATTACCGCAGGTGCCCCCGCTGCTGCAGCTGGAGGTAATGAAATGTACCTTGGCAGCAGCTGCTGCCTGCCCCCAGCAGCTCTCCTCCTTCCTGCAGCCAAACCCAATTTAGGGGAGAACTGTCCAACCCTGAGACACACCAAACGAAGGTAATGTGGAAATCACATTGTGAGGCAGCAGAGGCAGAAGCAGGCAGAAATGTCTTCTGGGCAGTGCCAGACATCACTAAGGCTTTGGATCCTGAGGAAAACAGAAGACAAGCAGCATCAGGGTGGGCAGGTCATTCAGCTCTGCAATGAGAAGTGGAAAACAAAGGAAAGACCTCAGTGTTGTTGACCCCGTGGTTGTGCTTCCTGCAGTGCTGCCTGTTCCTCTGCAGCCACCCCAGTGTCCCCGAGAGGGTGGCCTGGGACATCTGCCATCCCAGACCCCCAGCCCCTGGGTTTGGGGTGCCTGTGCAGGTGTGCCACTGCTGCTGCCCTGCAGGGGCTGTGCAGGGCCACACCTGAGCCCAGTGGCTCTAACCAGGACTGTCCCCACAGCAGGGCAGACTCAGGGTACTCTGCATGGCCTAGAGCCAAGAGGCTGGGGGCTCTGGGGGTGTGCTGTGGTTGGCAGTACACCCCAAACCCCAGCCTGGCTGTGGTAACTGCAGGCAGGAACCTCTGCCTGCAGCTGCTGTGAGGATGTGTTTCTGTGATGCTGCAGACCCTCTCTAGAGCCTCTTGCCTCCACAGGTGTTTGCTGAGATTTTTGACCCTGTCATTAAAGCCAGGCATAATGGCTACGATCCACGGACAATGAGGCACCACACCGACCTGGATGCATCCAAGGTAGGACTGAAGTAAAACAAGAGACAGAAAGGCTCTGAGCTGCTTATTCCAGTGATGATGCTGTGTGCAGCAGTGCTTTCATTTTTGCTGATCCAGCTGTGAAGACCCAATTTCATGTTTAAGGAAATTGGGATGCCAGTTCAGGCCCTGTCAGCTGCATCCCTTGTTCTCAGCAGGGAATCTGTGCCAGCTGTACCAAATATTTGGGACACAGCCTCACTGGGCACTGGGGGTCTGTTCATGAGCTTACAGATCATGGCTTCAACAGAAAATGGGTTGGGTTGGGAGGGACCCTAAAGCCCATCTCATTCCACCCCTGCCATGGCAGGGACAGCTCCCACTGTCCCAGGCTGCTCCAGCCCCAGTGTCCAACCTGGCCTTGGGCACTGCCAGGGATCCAGGGGCAGCCCCAGCCTCTCCCAGGATGTCTGCCCTTGCTTTCACCCTCTGCAAATTTCCTTTGTGTGTCTGAGCCTGGTCAGGAGCTCCTTGCTGCTCCACACAGGCCTCCTGATGTTTTTTCCCAATGCCCTCTTTCTTGGGATGCATCACTCCTGAGCCTGGGGGACTGGTTCCATGAATATTATCCAGCATCCTTGGTCCCCTGTTCCCTCCAGGGGTTTTTCCTTGGCCAAGCAGATCCCTGGAGAGGCTGAGGGCTGCTCTCCTGCAGTCCAGTCAGTGATCCTGCCCTCCAGCTGATCACCACTTTAAAGGGTGGCATCCCCTCCTCATCCCCCCTGCCTGCCTTCCCAGCGAGCCTGCATCCTTCTGTCAGGAAAATTAACCCTCAAACACCAGAGGTTTGTGTCCAGAAAGGAGGCAGAGGAGTCCTTTGACTTTATTTCAATAGAGGCAGAGGCCAGGGGCATTCCCCTGGGGTCTCTCCAATTATCCTCCTTTTATCCCAATTTCCCAGCCACATTTCCCTTCTCTCTTTCCCCATTTCTGAGTCCTTGAGAGGTTCAGACTTCCCAGAGCACCTGATACCAGAGATTCCCCTCTCATGTACAACCCTCCCTTTTAATTTGTAATTCTTATGGACTTTAGGGGTTTTTCTTCCCCACTCTTTCTTTCATCTTTCAATCTCCAATTTAATTTATCAGCAAACCTAAAGCTCATTTGTAAAGGCAAATATCTTTTCCCGTTCATCCATCAGTGGAATCCTTCCCATTGTTTCTTTTCTGTCTCAGTGCCAGCAGACCCACAGCTTGTCTGTAAAGACAAAATCTGTCATTCCTCTCACTTCCACCCCAGCTGTGCAGTCACAGGAGGGTCCCTCCCTGTCCCTGTGATGGCAGTGAGGTGCAGTGAGCCCTGCTGGCATGCACACACGAACCTTGTACATGTGTATGGAATTCCTTGGGCTGGAATTCCTCAGATTAGTATGGCTCTAGGGCATGGAGTGAAAGCAGGAGCTGAATCCTGTATCCCCACACACACCTCACCTGCAGTGTTTCCTTCATAGGGAATATATCCTTTTATCTCCTTCAGCTGCATAGTTTAGCTCATTTTGATCTTCCCTCTCCCAAAGGATCTCCCTTATCTCCCTCTGCCTCTGCCCATATCCCTGTTTTCCAAAAGCCATGGGGCCTCCTCCATATCTGGGGACCATGAAGGACGAGCTGGTTACTCCAACACGTTCATCCAGCCAGAGAAATGGCTGGAAACAACCCCTGGTGCCCAGAGCTCTCCAAGGTGCCCTGGGTATTTGTGACCTGGTGGGGAGGATGCCAGGCCTGGGCAGAGAGCTGCCCCTCCTTCTGCACGAGGGGTTTGGGCTCTCCTGAGGGCTGTGCCGGGTGTGCACGGCGAGAAACAAAGCTCACTTTTACAAAACTGTAAGTTTAATAAATGATAGTAAGGGATTAATAAATGATAATAAGGGATAACACAAAAAGGAAAAGATACAGGTGCCTGGTGCTTGACAAAGCCAGTACACACCTACTTTTTAATCTGCAGTCTTTTATAGTATTACCACTGTGTTACTTCCTTAGATGACTGCACAGATTTATTCTGAGCTCGTTAACCACAATCTCACTTCAGATTTTTGCAGTGTTTGCACAATCCAGCAATTTATAGATGTTGGCAGCCTGGGGTGGTCTTCTGATGGTCTTCTGATGCTACTTTGAGCTTGGTATTCCTCTTTTTATGGTTTTCACTTCTCTGCTTATGCTGCCTTGGATGTACATTTTGCAATATCAAACATATGTTAAAATACATCTTACACAGGCCCTCTTACACCCTGAGAAAGCCTTGCTTCTTTTACAAGCAATTACAAATTTTATCATACTTAAATCAGTTTAAAACTTGCAGTGATTACCTGCAAACAATCACAATTTTATAATTAAAACCTGCCAGCTGTAGTTGGGCCTCGAGTCCTCAAACAGGCAGGAGCAGCTGTGAGTTGCCATAAATTTGTTTATTGCATGAACGCATCAGTCTCGTAGGCAAAGAGTTCAAAGGTGTTAAAAGCCTGTGCTAAAAGCTTTCTGGCATGGAGTGCCAAGCAAAAGCTGCAGCTGCAGGGCTGCAAGGCTGCTCTCTGGCAGAGTCCCAGGTTCAGGAACTTGCAGGAACAGCAGCAGCAGCAAGAATTGTCCCTGGCAGGGGGACAAGAGAGCTCCCAGCAGGGCAGAGGCAGCAGGCTTCTTTCTTCTTGATGATTATGATAATGATGAAGGAGAAGAAGATGCAGCCTTTTTTACATCCTTCTTCTCCTTCTCCTTCTCCTTCTCCTTCTCGTTCTCCTTCTCCTTCTCCTTCTCCTTCTCCTTCTCCTCCTCCTTCTTCTTCTTCTTCTTCTCCTTCTCCTTCTTCTACTATTTGTTTCTTCTTCTTCTTCTTCTTCCACTATTTGTTTCTTCTTCTTCTTCTTCTTCTTCTTCTTCTTCTCCTTCTTCTTCTTCTATTTGCTGCTTCTTCTTCTTTTTCTTCTTCTTCTTCTTCTGTTTCTTCTTCTTCTTCTTCTTCTTCTTCTTCTTCTTCTTCTTCTTCTTCTTCTTCTTCTTCTTCTTCTTCTTCTCCTTCTTCTTCTTCTTCTCCTTCTTCTTCTTCTTCTTCTACTATTTGTTTCTTCTTCTTCTTACTGTAGTTCTTCTTTTTCCCTTCATGCCAAACACCTCAGTACAGGGTGTTTTTATTTACAAAAACATCCAGCCAGCTAAAAACATGTTTCTAAACCATCCCTTCTAAGCCAATCTAAACTTAATCCTCATGTGCAAAAGTAGTACGAAAGTAGTGTCAGTGCTTACCTAAAGAACTACATATCTAAGTTTATCTATTTACATGAATAGTTTTATCTATTTATGCACTTAGTTCTATCTATTCTCGTGGCAAAGTTCTGCTATGCCTTTATTCTACTTAGAGATGCCAGCAATGTTCCACTATGTTTTTGTTATGCTTGGGACGAAGTTACTGAACTTTAAACTAGCAAGCACAGTTCCTTAAGGCACTTAAAATGTATTTCTACTTACTTAAAACTGAAACTTACACTTCTATTTAATTAAAACTTGCACTTCCATTTCATATCTACGTGGCTTAATGTATCTTAATTTCTCTAAAGAATTTATTGCAACCCCTGCATTTATCTCTCTCTCTCTCTGAGGAACTGAGAGAGGCTTCTGTGTCATGCATGCCAACAAAAACCAGTGTACTGTAGCAAAAGCCAACTACTCCATGGCTGTTTGTAACATGCCTGTGAAAAACAGAATTGACTGCTTAGGGTTTTTAAAAGTATAATCATAATATATATTTAATAATAATAATAATAATAACAAGAATAATAACAAGAATAATAACAAGAATAAGAATAAGAATAAGAATAATAACAAGAATAAGAATAATAACAAGAATAAGAATAAGAATAAGAATAAAGAATAAGAATAAGAATAATACACAATATTTCCAGCACTGGGGTGCTCCTGGCCAACTGCCAAAGAACAAGATGGTGTACACAGACAATGTTATCTTTATACTGCTGCATATTCATGTGTTTCATGCATTACTCAAACATTCTTGTGAAGTTTCTGATGTTTTGGGAACTCCTTTGTTTGGCTTCTTCACACTCCAGCTTAACTACATGACATCCTGGGTCTCAAGTCAATATATTTAATTTCTTCTTGTGTCTCCATCGTGCTGCTTCACATCCTCTCATAAGATTTTAGCATTCCTCCTGAATTTTAACAGGGTATTCTCTATTTGTCCTCTGGTGCTCTGGTTTGTGTCAGGGTTATCTTATCACCTGGACAGGTGGGTCAGTGGATGGCCTTACACTGTTTTAGTTACACAAAAGCCTTTTTTACATCTTATTATCTTTACATCTTATCTTTTGCTGAGGTCTATAACACAGTGTTGGAATGCCAGGCTCTTTCTTGCTCCAAGATCAGGGTGACTAAAACTCAGGAGATGTTTTTGAAGTTTTCTCACTCTGAAGTTTATTATCCTTATCTATTACAAACTCACAGCATTATATTCCAAAAATAAGCCTGATTATTTCATAGATACCTGAAATCATTTCAATTTTGTCCATCTCAAGGCTGATTCCCTAATTATCCCGAGGCCTATTCCATTTTCGGATGTTACTTATCTCAGACTACATCCTGCATCCTATTTCCTCATGAACATCTGAAAACATCTGTTTTGTGACACTAATTACATCTCCTTTTCCTCTATTACTTTTTTATTCTATTTGTGGAGTGCCCTGATGAAGGAAGGAATGGTGAATCTGACTCCTATATTATAGGAGTCAGATTATATAATAATTATATATATAATAATTATATTATAGGAGTATATATATACTATATACTATAATATAGTATATAGTATATATATATACTATAATATATGATAATTATATTATAGGAGTCAGATTATATAATAATTATATTATATTATATTATATTAATATATAAACTATATATATACTCTCTTTCTATATATATGTACTATATACTTATATTCTAAACTATACTAAGAATACAGAAAGGATACATAGAGAAGGCTAAAAAGACAATATTGAAAACTTGTGACTGTCTCCAGAGTCCCAACACAGCTTGGCACATTCAAGTGAAAACAATTCCCATGAATTTGCACATAAGTCAAAACAATCCACATGAAACCAGTGAAACAATCACCTGTTGGGTAAAAAATCTCCAAACACATTCCAAGGCAGCAAAACACGGGAGAAGCAAATGAGATAAGAATTGCTTTCCTTTCTCTCTGGGGCTTCTCACCTTCCCAGGAGGGAAATCCCGAGTGACGGGATTTTTCGGCAAACGCGAACGCCACGCTTTCAAACAAATACTTCCTACAACACCGCTACGTACCACACACATCACACCAATTCACCAGGCACAAAAAAAAAAAATTGTGAAATGTGACGTTGCTGGGCCGTTTCTCCCCGCAGATCACCCACGGGCAGTTCGACGAGCGCTACGTGCTGTCGTCGCGGGTGCGCACCGGGCGCAGCATCCGCGGGCTGAGCCTGCCGCCCGCCTGCACCCGCGCCGAGCGCAGGGAGGTGGAGAACGTGGTGGTCACCGCGCTCTCGGGGCTGCGGGGCGACCTCTCGGGCAAGTACTACAGCCTGACCAGCATGACCGAGCGGGAGCAGCAGCAGCTCATCGACGTAAGTCGCGCTCCGGCGCCAGCAGCGCGCGCACGGGCTCGGGTTTAGTTTGAGCTCTGTAACCACACCGTTAAGCTGTGCTTGAGTCAGTGTTTGTAATGGGATAGCCAACCAGGCCATCAGAAATTTCTGTATTTCTGAAACGTCACTCTGCAGGTCTGAGGAGTGGGTTTCTGTATTGCCGTATTTCTGTGAAGTACGTCACCGTGCAGGTGTGGATTTATATTCCAGAGAGTGAGGCCAGTGTCAAATCAAATCCACGTGGCTGCTGCCACCTCTCTGGACAAGTAAACAGGGAAATTCAGGGCCTTTCCTTGGTCATCTCCTTGGGCAAACTGGGATATTTTCTGTATTAACCGTTCTAACTAAAATTATTACACTGAGATAGGTATATCTGTATTCCATTCTGTTGGGTGGGGGAGTTTGCCTGTGATTACATCAAAATGACACTAATTCTAATTTCCCAGAATCTGGCTGTAATTTCATAAGTGAACACTACACTAATTCTAATTTCCAAAAAGTGGCCGTAGCCTACTGCACCCAGGTGACCTTTTCCCAGTCCTGTCATTGTGCTCAAGGAATTGAAGGACCAGGCCCATAACAAGAATTTTCATTGTCACACAGATGGAAAGACAAGGATTTGCACCATGGATTTTGTCACAGCATGTGACATGCCAAACAAAGCTTGAATGTGCATTTTAAGTGTCCAAAGGAATGGCTGTACCATCTTAGCTATACTCATGGCACATTATTCCATAACATCAACCAAAGGGGAGCTGATGAAGTAACCTAACTGTTTATAACCCTGGAACTAGGTGTGTGGATTAACCAGGAGTTAAGAATTTATGTAAGGTCAGTAACTTTTTTAATTGAATGTCCCTGGTGATATGTTTATTGACAAGATGTTGATGACCTGCTGCGATTTATTTTCAGCAGGAGACAGCTCCTCAGGATGTAGAGGTTGAAACAGGAGTGTGGAAAACGTAATTCCTTCATGGTTTAAGGCTAAGTCCTGTGGGAAGTGGAATAGGCTTCACTGATTCAGTATTTTATCTCGTTTTGTTTCGTGATAATGCAAATTTATAGAGATCAGACATTGATGTTGTAACCTGAGATGCATTCTTTGCCCCACACCACTGCTTACCCCTCCAGCACCTCAGGACCTGGCACCTCTGTGGGATCAGGCTTCCTGCCAGCTGCTAAAGGCTCCATTTCAGCTCTGTAAGACCAAAGTTTATTTCAGTGACATAAATCACTGCTACTTGAATTGCACTCAGCACAGAAGGCATTTGGTGTTTTGCAGATTTGGGCCATATGCTCATGAGGAAAAGTAACAGCTCTTTTCTTGCAGAAAGGGGGATTTTTGTTTCAAGCAAAGTGTCAAGTGGAGCAAGATGAGGAAGGAAATTTGGTGTCCCTTTGAAGAGCAAAGAGAACTCCACACCTTTTCTTCCTGCATGGTTGGAGTTCTGCGTGCACCGTGCCCATTGCAAAGCATTCAAAGATGAAAACCTAAGTGAAATTAAGAAAATCATTATTTCATTCCTCATTAAGGGAAAAATTAAGTAAAGCACATCAGTGTGTCTACCACGTCACATGCCTTCTGCATAGACTGCCTCACTATTTCTAGTTAAGCCCTAGGTTTAAAAATAAAATAATAAAACCAACAACACTGCCAGCAAAAAACCCTTGATATTTGATATGGCAGTGTTCAAGGAATTAAGAAATACTAGTTTTTTAGCCCACACATGAAAATCAATAAAAAATACTTATTTTCTCTGGGGAGAAAAAAATTCCAAAGCAAATAGTTTTAAAAATTCTAAACTACTAGGCCATGGGCCAAGTTGGTGGCACAGCATGTGCTACATTTATTAAGTCACAAACAGCATCTCTGTTAAGGAACATAGCAAGCCTGTGATTCCAAAAGGTTGAGATTAGCACTGATTCAATTCCTACCTTGAGTTCATGCTCAGAATAAATATCTAAGTCTCCATGCTGGAGAAGTATATTTTCAGAACTAGCACTTTTTATTGTTTGGGGTTTTTTTCCCAATCTTTTAGAATGGTCTTCTCCTATGCTGAAATGTGTCTGACTGCAGAGCAGATCTCTGGAGCCAGGTCCTCCAGAGCATCCTTGGCTGTGTCCGTGTGTGCTGGGGCCTACCCCAGCATCCATCCCTCCCTACATTTGAAAATGTTTTTGGAAAAACATGTCAGCCAGCACCTGTGAGAGTTCAGAAAACCACCTGGGTAAAGAGGTTTTAGCTTCCTGCAAAGGAACCAGGTTCCCAGGCTGTACTGTGTGATTTTCTTGTGCTTCCACCGCCTTCACAATAACGTGCTGAACAGCATTACAGTGCTCCCTGGATATAAACTGGAGCTGTGCTCTGTTCTCTCTGTCTCTCTGCCTCCCTCTGGCCCTGTCCTGGTGCCCAGGATCACTTTCTCTTTGACAAGCCCGTGTCCCCTCTGCTGACATGTGCAGGGATGGCCCGTGACTGGCCGGACGCCCGAGGCATCTGGTAGGTTCTGTGACCTGCAGGGTCCTGTGTCATGCCCAAAGATCATCTTACAAACATCCTTGCTTGTCCTAACCCTGCATGAACTCTGGCCCAACACTCACAGCATGCCCAGTCTGCTTCAAAAAGAGAAATGTTTTAATTCCCGGGGCTGAAAGCACCCCTTTCCTCCCAAATGAGCTGGATGAAAAGGAGACAGGGAAGTTGGACTTCCTGCTCTCTTCTAGGTCTGTTTTACTGCCCCAACACTCTTGATAGTGGGCCCAAATACAAAATCTGCTGTGGAGATGAAGGGGTAACAGCTCTGAGAGGAGAGCCCAAAGCAGCAGCAGAGGACGGGGCAGCTGTGCAGTGCACAGCATCTGCATCCAGCCTGCTGCATGCACTGCAGGCACTGCCAGGTGCTGTAACCCTGAGAAAACAGGCAAAAAGCATGCTGAGGATCACCTAGTGTGAAACACGATCACCCCCAAACCCAGTGACCTGCTGGAATACTGGGAGGGTTTTTTAATTTCAACAAGCCTCCTAAGAGCTTTAACAAGGTGCAGATCCTTTGGTCCCCAGTGAAGTCTGAGGAAGTGGAAAAAGGTGAAGCTTGAGGCACCCATCCATTGTCTCTACAAAAAACCAGAAGTACCTACAGCATAATTACTATCCAGGGATTTCCTGAATAAAACAGACCTGGGTTTTGGCTTCTTTTACACGTGACATATCAAGGAAAATGGAAGAAAAAAAAAATTACTGTGATTGGACAGCACTTCTGTAAGTCGCATTTTGAAAATCTGCCTTTCCGTTGCAAAATATTGTCAAAAAGTGTGTACATTGTGGAAATAATTTTGCTTCTGATGGTCCTGTCCTTGTCATGGGCTGCAGGACCATTGCCACTAACAGCACTGTCAGCAATGGCACAGTTTAAATACATGCTCCTGACAGCAATGGGGGCACTTGCTGAACTAAAAGGGGAGGTGAGTTAGGCCAAACTCAGACTATTTATAAAAGCCTCCCTCAGCATTAGGGAGGGACTGAGGAGGAGGTGACTGGACCTGCCTGACCCCAGTGCCAGGGCACAGGATGTTTACAGCTGCTCAGCATTGCTCTGGCCAGCTCCAACTGCAAAGAGAAAACGGAGACGCCGCGAAAGACCGGCCGAAAGTCAGGCTCTGGGTGATCTTGAACTTTCACTTTCATGTGCCTTGCACCTGGTGGTATTTCACTGCTGGCACAAACGAGTCTGACCCCATCCATCACCCTCTACGTGCTGCAGAAGGCAGTAGTAGGAGACTGGCCAAGCAGAGGAGAAGCCAGGAGAAGTCACACAGCGCTTGCCAGAGCCAGCCCTGAGCGCCTGTTTGAGGCAGGAGAGGGATTCCAGGGGTTCTGTCCTTTCTGGCAGAGCAGGGTCACTGCGGGATCCCAGACACATCCCTTGAGGGATGCAGACACCCAGTGCTGCCAGGGACACTGGGGTTTGAGGCAGGGAGAACAACATTAACTAAGCACGCGCTGCTGGCTCCCGGGTTTTCTGGGGGCAGAGCTTGGCTTCTCCCTTGGCTGCATCCCCAGCTGTGCTCCCGAGGGGGGACCACAGCAGCATGATGTGAGCAGAAAACTCTCCTCACACTGTGCCCAAGAGGCCCTGTAAAGCCACAGGCACGAGGGATCCAGTGGTGGAACCAGCCCCAGTCCCTCACTGCAGACTGCAGTTTGATTATGACACATTTCACTTCTCTGCTGCTTGGGATGACTGTGACAAAACTAAGGATGCTGACTGTTATTTCTCAGGGCTTGCCTTTTTAAAGATATTAATTTTTTTTTTCCTCTCCTCTTGACTAGGCACAACAACGAGAAGACATTTCTCATTTGGATTAATGAAGAGGACCACACCAGGGTGATCTCCATGGAGAAGGGTGGCAACATGAAGCGTGTCTTTGAAAGGTTCTGCCGTGGATTGAAAGAGGTAGTGTCTCAGTGAGTTCATTATTCCTGTTTGTTCACTGCTGTCACCCCTGCTTACTGTGGTTCCCACTGAGCTGACATCTCCAGGGGCAAGGAAATGAAGTCACATCAGTCCACACAGCAACCCACATCAACACAGCTAAAGCAGGAAACACGGGCAGATTAATAGCTGAGTTGTAGGGAAAAATAAATAATTATCGGGTTTTTTTCCTTTTTTTTTTCTTTTTTTTTTTTTTTTTTTTTTTTTTTTTTTTTTTTTTTTTTTTTTTGCCATTTGGTACCTGCAAACTGTGGGAAGTCATAAATGAAGCACTTTATTTGGGTTGTTTGATTTGCTTGATTGAAGACTTTATTTGGCCCTTCCTCCTGGTTCTTATTTCTGAGGCTGGGAGCAGAGTGGAAGATGCTGAGGTTGTGGACGGGACTCAGGGTTTAGGACCCGCTGTTTTGGGGAGATATGGGGGTTTGTGATTAAAACTAAGAACTGATAGTCAGGACTCCTGGGTATTACCTTGGTCTAGCTAATCACAATGATAAGAAATCTTCCTGGGACAGGGTGTGAGTTAACACAGTTTTGCCCAGACACTCCAGGTGTGACTCAGGTTGGGTCTGGGCCCAGTGCAGCCCTCTGACCTGGCACACAAAAAGTTGATTTATCAGAGAAACAGAACTTTACTGTGCCTCAGAGGTAATCCCAGGGAACTCTGGAATGGTTTGGGTTAGGGTTTGCAGTGGGTTTTGGGGCACAGAAAAACAAAGCCATCTGATTTAGGCTCTGCTGGCACCAAGGTGGTTCCTGAGAGTTCCCAGGGTGGGTTTCCAGGCACAGCTGCGAGATCAGCAGTGCACAGGTGGTGACACAGCCCCCAGGTGTTGTCCCCAGCTTTGCTGTTGAGCTGAGCTCCTGCCAGCCTGTGGACATGCATGTGGGAAGCGGTGGGGCAGCTTTGGGAGCTGTGCCCTCAGCAGGTCTCTGGGGCAGCAAATCAGGTCCAGTTTCCCACTATCCATTGTGTTACCCTCACAAAACACAGAAATTATCCCAGGAGAGTAATTTATTCTGCATCCTCCTGCAGAGCTGAAGCGTTCAGCTATATTCATAGGATTCTTGTGAGCATGAGCTGGTTTATGCACCCAGTTCTCCTCAGGGGAGATGAGAACTGAACTGAAAAGGTATTGGGTTTGCACAAGCACAGGTGGGCGAACAGAGCACCAGGTTATTCAAAGGGCAGTAGACCCTTGTGATTTTCCTTCTGGTAATTATTTCACTCTCCTGTCATTTCTAGCCAGAGACCTACTAATGAGAAGTTTTATCTACAAGCTGGGTTGTCTCCTTATAATGGAAGTGTGGCACTTAGAGGCCAAATGTTTTCTTCAAGGAGCCATGACATCAGCTAGAAAACTTCACAAAGCTCAGGCTCAGCTCCCTCTGTTTGCTTCGTAGTGTTTGAGTCCTTTAGGGTCCTGTGTTTCAAACTTGGTTCAAAATTACTGAGTTATAAAAAAATTGCAAAAGCCACAACTCTTAAGTGAAGATGTGGCTCCATCGGCCAAGGTTTCACCAAAAGACCAGGACAGGGAAATTTCTGGTGAAGAGACCAAGAGTCTGCAAGATAATTTCTTGGATTATACTTTTTTCCAAATTTGATCAGCCATGCAGGGACACTCAGTGGCCATGGACAGGAGATAATTAATAATTAATGGCCCATGAAGAGCAGAGATCTCCTGGAGGGAGGATTGGCTGTGGGAGAGATAAAGAAATCTGCCCCACCTGGTTTTAACAGATGGTGGTAGAATGCACACTTCTGCTTACATCTTGCAGATATGTGTTTAAACCAGAGACTGAAATCAGAGCAAAGATTTAATAGTGAGCCCTGAGCCTTCCCTGTAGGGCACAGGCTGCAGGGCAGTGTGTGCACCTCCCAAGTTTGCTGCAAAGCCACTTCAGTGAGAAGGAACATTTGTAGTGCCAGAGTGTGGAAATGACCCTGCAGCCTGGAGCAGCTGCTCCCCTCCTGGCAGCTCGGCCCCCACACCTCATTCCAGCCTCATGCTTAATGATTTTATGAGCCAGAGCTGTTCCTAAGAGCACAGCTGATGAGGATGGGGAGAAGCAGCCATGCCCAGCTGTGACTGAGCCAAAGGCTGGGGCAGGCTGGATATGGATGCAGGCTGGTCCTGATGCTGCAGCCCAAGGCCTGGGGCCAGCCCCATTCTAGGCAGGTTTTCCTAACAGAAAATAACCCTGGGATAATGCACCTGGGTGACAACAACGTTAACCCAGCCCACAGTGCCCTCCCTTCCTGGCTCACCTGCCCTGGGGACAGCCCAGGTAACCACTGCTCTCTGATCTCTGAATGCCCCCACAGCCACAGACAGATGTCTGGACGCTTCACACACTGAAGTTTAATATAGGAACCTGTGCTCCTTTGGATCTAGAATGAAAAAGTAACAGGAAAAAAAAAAAATAAGCGTGAAATACTAATAGGCTGTATTATTTGCCAAAACAGCCCGCGACAAACACATCTATTAACACCTGAGACATCATCATGTGTATTTTGTGTTAAAGCAACATTAATAATAAAAACCAGGATGACACTGCATGATGAATTGAGTCCTGCTGACAGACAGCCTAAGCCTAGAAATTTTTGCTTATATGAAGAGTTCCACTAAAGTCAGTGATGTCTCCTACAGCAAGGATCTACAGGATTAAGGCAACAGATGAGACACAAGACCTACCTTGGAGACTCTGAAATCTAAATAAGACAAGACATACTCAAGGGGATAAGAAAAGTTTTATTAGAGGATAAATTTTTTCAGTACATAATTAAATAAATGCCATTATGTGGTAAATGTGTTTGCAGAACTGAATTATGCTCCCAAAGGTGCAAGATAAAACTGTTTGTATTCCTGCTCTGTTTCAGTTACTGGTCAATGCAAACTTAATATGAAATTTGTTTTCTTATGGAGACTGCAAATTCCATCCTCTGAATTCCCAACACAGCTAGTCTGTAAAAGACAATAAAATAAACTGCTAAGCCACTGAAATGCTTTATAGTAAAAACAAATCCCTTGAAAATCAGCAACTGACAATACAGAGACAATGGGATTTAGTCTTCATGCTTGGTTTTAACAAGCCAGTCATAAAAGGTTGCTAATGAACCATTTCATGGAGATTAAGAAATACTAGCTTTATCTTGCTGCCTCACAGTGCCACAGGGTCTGTGGTCCCTAAATGTCACCTGTCTGCTGGGGACAGAGCCCCTTGTATTCTCCAGCAATTTTGAAACAGGTTATGAAGACACCACCACCTCCTGCCATACAGAATTATGAATTTTGGTGCTGCTCTGGGCCTGGAGTGATTCCCACCCCTGGCAGTGTCACTCTGGTGCATTGGAGTGACTGCCTAGAACAGGGGCTAGACTAGATTAAGTGAATAAAAACAGGTATTTATGAAAGGCCTTCAAAAGGTACAGCTTGGGCTATCAAAAGCCTCCAGTGGGCTACACTGAAGGTCACGAGTTTTTCATGCAGTTAAAAGTTTGGTCCATTTGCATTTCAGGGGTTAATGTTCCATTACAGCTTCAGGCAATGAAGTAATTTTCTCCAAGTGTGCCCCCCTCAATTCACTGTTGTTTGCATGTGAGACAATAAGGTGTCCTTGAGGCCTAGAGAGAAGTTGTTTTGTCTGAGTAAAATGGGAAAACAGTAGGGAAAACAGGGTATGGAGCTTAGATTTATACACTAAAGCAGTACAGTACCTAAAAAAATATAAAACCTAAATCCCAAGGCATTGAGCGAGGAGCTGGGAGCTGAGCCTGGCAGGAGGAGCAGGCTGCTGCCCAGGACCCAGGGACCCCACAGGACCAGGGCCACTGCAGGGGAAGGACAGCTGGGCTTTGAGAGCCCCCTCAGGCACTCTGAATGCCCCTGGTGGTCCTGCCCTGCTCCCAGTGCCAGCCACATCAAGGACACCTGTGAAAAACGCCAATCACTTGGCTGTAAAATTTTAAAAGTTTAATGGTAATAAAATGGTTATAACAATAGCAATATGATTAGAGTAATAACATTTGAACACACTGCTTAAGAAAATTAATACAACATAACTTTCTATCATAACGCATACAATATTCATTTTAATCCTTGTGAAAAGCCAAAATACACATTTTTCACACAGACACCCTGAGCCCCCAGCAGCATTCAGGGCTGGTCTGAACCAGGGCAACAGGCCTCCTTCGTGCTCTCCTTGCATCAGCATCCCTCCCAATTCACTTCCATGTCCCTGTGCTCACACATCCTGCAGGCATTTTGGGCTTTTTGGGCTTGGGAGCAGGGGAGACACAGCAAGGACTTCAGTGCTTCATCAGGCACTGCCTGGCAGGGCTGAACACTCACAGCACAGCTGCTCTGTGTCCTCACCCTCGAGCAGTGTGGGGAACACTTGGGGCCAGGCATCCCTGCTCAGCAACACCCTGCACCCTCTCGGGGCTCACGTTTGAAACAGGTCCCTCAGCTCCTGCCTGATCACCTTATATGGGGACTTTGCCCGGCTGGTTTGTTCCTGTGGGAGCACAGTTTGGTGGAAATAACTTTGGGGACCTAAATGAAAGTTTCTGCTGCCCGGGGCAAAGAGGAGAAGGGAATTACTGTGGCTTTGCTCAATCCTACTCCCTGAGCCAGAGGAGGTGTGATGTCTGTGACCCTCCTCACTTTCAGCTTTGTCTGCTGAATGATGAATTGAGTCCTGCTGATTTGTCTGCTGTGGTGACAGCACGAGCCAACTTGCCACTCTTCTATTAACAGATGAGCTAGACCTTCTGTTATTACAATTCTCTTCTTGTTGTAGGTGGAGCTAGTCCAGATTGTCATCGACGGGGTCAACTACCTTGTTGACTGTGAGAAGAAACTGGAAAAAGGCCAAGACATCAAGGTGCCACCCCCCCTGCCTCAGTTTAGCAGGAGATGAAGCTGCTGGTGATGGCCGCAGCTGAGGGTAAACGTGGCTGCCATTCTGATGGAAAGGCACCCCTGTACATCTCTGTATAAATGCATTGTGTAATAAAACACTGCCTGACAACTGAGGTCTCCTCCATGCCTGGCTGCGCTGGCACAAACTGGTCTGGGTGCAGCTTTACTGGGGTTTACCCACACAACCACCTTGGGATGCTCTTCTTTGGGGGACTGCTTCCCTTTCTTGGTTGGTGATAAGAAAAGTACCACTTCAGCTGTGCAAAAAGCACACCTCTCTAACTCTATGCAGCACTTGCACTTCTGGACATATTTACAATGCCTTCTGTAAGCATCCTGTTCATTTCTGCCCTGTGCCCTTGGGCTGCAGCAACCTGGCCCAAAAACAGGCAGGCAAATGAGTTTGCTGATATTCTAGATCCCACCTAACCCTGCCCAGCTCCAGTCCCCTCCTGAAGCTCTCAGCTTCAGAGGAAACGGGGTCTGGCTCAGCTGCCACTCCCCAGAGTCCCTGAGGATGTGCTGCCACTCCGAGGGACATCTCCGTGCTCACCATGGTCCATGTGCTCAGCAGCACAGTGGAAAGGAAAAAAAAACCAGCAAAGGGCTGACAATCCCACTGATTGCTTCTTTTTTGCATATGGAAACACGGCGTTTCACAGCCAGAACACCAGTTCCCAGGCAGGTCCCTGGGTGAGTCATATCTGCAGAGCTGTGGCTGGATAGCTGGCCCATAACTGGCTACAGACTTTAAAAGTCACAATTGGGAGCTAATTGAGAGCTAGATGGTGAATGAGCTGCTCTTGAAAATCAGCAGCATGGTGTGCTGGCTGAGAAGGAGAGCTGCTGAGGGTAGAGCAGGCTGGAGCTTCCATGTGAGTACTGTTACATCCTCATCTATGCTGGGCACATTCCCTAGCATTTTGCTGCTGTCTTTCCAAATGGTGGTTAATAACAGTGATTCTGGGGGAGGGAATCAGACTATTGCTGATTCTACATAGAAGGCAAATAAGCAAACCTGGAAAGGCCTCACTGCTACCCCTCCAAAACTCAGCTCAACACAAAATCCAACTGTGGGCCAAGTGTCCTCAGATTTTAGCCTGTATTTTGCTTTTCTCCTGCTGATGGGCAGCAGCACAATGTCCAGCGGGCTGCTCCTCGCTAACAGCATTCCTGAGGGGCTGGTATGGGGCTGATGGCTCTTCCAGTGCCTTTAACAGCCTGGAGGATGAGGTGCATCACTCACCAGCCAGTCCACTGATGGTGTTAGGTAAGAGCTGGAGGGCAGGGCTGCTCTTCAGAGAGCATTTCACAGTGGAAATGGGCTGCTGGACACCTCGTGGGGTCCAGCAGGGGCACAGCCTGGCAGGAGAAGGCTAAGAGGGCATGGTAATGGTGTCCACCACTGTCTGCAGCAGGGGAAACCAGGCTCAAGGCTCTCCTTGGGGATGCAGAGTGCCAGGACAGGAGGCAACAGACCCAGGATGGGACACTGGGAATTCCTGTTATTTATTGGATAGGCCTTCTGCCCTGCGAGGGTGATCAAATGTTGGAACAGACCCAGAGACACCCAAAACTCAGGGAGCAAGGATCTGATCCACGCTGGGGCTGGGGTGGGATTGGTGGGTGTTTTGGGACAGAACACCTCCAGACCCCCAGCCTACACAAAGGTGTGATCCCTGGCTGAAACAACCACTGCAAAATGCCTGAGATGAGCACATAACCCAGAGCAACGCCCTGGCCATCCCTGCTCTGACCAGACAGGGAATTGTGAGTCTGCACAAAACAGGGACACCCAGGTATGACCTACTCCCTGCTCTGCTCCAAATGTGGCATTCCCTGTATTGCTTGGCTTCCAAGCATGTCCCTCACAACCAAAATACTCCTCCTCACGTGGATTATTTTGCAAAGGCTTGTTGTCATCCACATTTTCCACTTCTGTGACTTTTCTCTCTCTCCATGACCTCTATACAGCCAGCGAGACCAACTCAACTGCCCCACATGAATGGTGCATTTTCATTCTTCACGCCACATTGCTAATTAATATTTTAAATTAAACTTGGACAGTGACAAGTCAATGCAGGATGTCTTTGCTCAGTCCTACTCCCTCATGACAATGCTCAGGGCAGTTTTCTGCTTGCTTGGAGCCCATTCTCTGAGTGGAGCCCACCCTGGGGATGAGGAGTGGGGAGCAGGGTCTGTGCCCCTCAGGGCCTTCAGGGACAGCTGGAAGGTGGCTGCTCTGCTCCACAGGGATATGTTCAGGAGAATGAACATATTCTTGTGGAGCAGAGCAGCACGCACTGTGCTCAGTTTGTTTCCTGCTGCTCCTTGAATGCTGCAGCAGAAAACAAACAACCTGAAAGGCTTTGTGCCCACACAAAGGAAGAAAAGCATACAGATAATGACTCAACAAGAAAATATTAAAGGTTCAAAAGCTGGGCTTAGTGCACTGACTCTTGACATAAAATGCTACTTCTTGTTTCTCATATTTATTTTCCCCACGCCACAAGTACTGCACTGCTGAGACCCTTTTCTGCCTTCCTGATAGACTCTGATTCTCTATAAATCTTTGAAATGTATTTGATTAAGTGCCCCAGGAGGTATGTGCCATGCCTCAAGCACTTCTCTAATGCTCTTGACAAAGCAACTAGGGATCAGCAGAAATAATCTCTCAGGTCAAGCTCCATCAAAGCCCAAATGCATCAAAGCCCACCTGTGCTCCATTAGGCAGTTCATGAAGGGTGAGAACTGGGAAGGAATTTCCCATTACAAGACAAGAGAAAACAGGCACTTTAGATGAGATATTATGAAGGACTTGTTCCCTGGCAGGGTGGGCAGGCCCTGGCACAGGGTGCCCAGAGCAGTGGGGCTGCCCCTGGATCCCTGGCAGTGCCCAAGGCCAGGCTGGACACTGGGGCTGGAGCAGCCTGGGACAGTGGCAGTGTCCCTGCCGTGGCTGGGCTGGCACTGGGTGGGATTTAGGGTCCCTCCCAACCCCAACCAGTCTGAGAAGTCTGTAGCTAAGCAGGTGTACCTGATCTCACATGTGACACTTCACACCTGAAATCCTTGGCTGCCTCAACAAAAACTGACAAGGGGCTCTGCAGGTCCATGACTCAGGTCAGGATCAGTGCACACCTGAGCACGCCTGACACGATGTTTCTCTGGAAACACCAAAACCAGAAGGGAGCAGATATCATGAGGAATGAGTTACAGCTAATATTTATATGCAGAATTACTTTACTAATGAGATTCACTGGAATGAGATCTAAGAGCTGCATGCTCATCTCTCTCCTGCAATGCCTCTTACAGTCAGCCTAAGGTTTAATTAAAAGATTAAAGACTTAAATAGTCACTTCTTTTGCCTACAAAAATGCCTGTAGGAAACACCAAAATGCACTGCACATGGCACAGAACTACCAAGCCCAATCTCCCAAGAGGGCACAGTCACCCACTGCCCAGCCTAGTGCTGATGACTGATACCACATTTTTAATTCACTCTAAATTATTACACAAAAATATTTGGCTCCTAATGAGAAAATATCAGTTATATTACAGTCATAAGTCTATCAGTAAACAAGGGTAATGAAAACATATTTTTATCTATCCCACTGTTCAGTGAACTTAGGTGGACGCAGCAGAGAGGAAAAAGAAGTTGATAAATTATGCCAGTTAATTTTTAGCTATTTTATGTCTATTCTGTTTTGAATATGCTTTCTGAATATAAATATAAGTTTTCAGTGTACACCTTTAATAGGTATCTGTCTTAGCTCTCATTCTCTCATTCTAGTTTTATGCTCTGCTTTCTGAACTAGCATTTGGGCTTTGAAATCACTGATAGTCTACCTGGTACTTCGCCATAACTGCATGAACTACTGGCATATTTTTTTAAAATATTTGTATTTAGTTTATTTTTCTGTAGAAATGAGGAATTTATCCTTTTCTTGACTGAGAGGAATATAAGCAATTAGTAAGACTGAAAAGACTGGAGCACTCTCCCTTGCTGATCCCTCTGCCAAGGAATCTGTACCTCTGCTTCTGGCTGCAGCTTCAGCCTGTTCTTTCTCATTTTCTCTGGAAATGCAGCAGTTTTTCAAAGTACATCCAATCCTGCAGAAAAGGCTATTGTATCCAAACCCATTCCTCCTTTGTCCTTTCACACCTTCAGCCCTAGGAATTACAACTTTGTGATCTGAAGACACAAGCTTAAGCGACGTGCTGGGCAAATCCAGTTTAAATTCATTCATCTCCTCACTGTGGATTTCTGAAAAAAACAAAATTACATTCTCCTGTGAGAAAACAGTGTTTTCTGCTTAACAGGCAGCCACCAAAGCTAAAACCAGGGAAAATTCTTACTGTCCTGACAGTGCACATCTAACACTCCCACTTGAGGCACGTTTCTCACACTGTCACTTTGACACAAGAATAACAAACAGCAGCTTTTCAGGGGAAAACAGCCAAAAAAAATCACTGACCTTAACCTTCAAAGGCTTCAGCTCATCCACCCACTTAAACATTTAATAGAAATGAATATAAAAATCAATAAGTATCTGTTGATACCAGAAACAAAAGTTGATGGAGCAACTTATTCAAGCTGTTGTTAAATATCCTGAAGGAGTCCCAGCTGTGAGCAACACGGCCTGGTGGAAATGGCATCCAGGGCTGGTCAGCTGAGCAGGCTCACTCAAGGGGATGTGCCCTGGCTGTAGCCATCAAAATCCATAAATACTTAAGATTAAGTATAACTCTGGTAATAATTTAACACTGACAAGAAAGCAGAGCAGTAAATGCTAAGCAATCTGTTCATCTTATGGAGAATAAATCAAAGGGAACCACCTGCACAGGAGCCTCAGATTATTGCAGAAGTAACAGAATTTAAGAGGGAACAGGGTCTAAATTTCCTTTCTCTCCCCAGGCTTACATTCATATTAAAACAACCAGGAAAATGTCAGCCTGCCACTCTGCCAAGCAGTATGGACTGTGTGTGTACAACCACAGCCTCTGGTACCCCTTCAGCAGACAAAACCTCCTTTTTGGGGTCTGGGGATTATGAATATATGAACACTGTGCTGTGTTCAGACAATGTGCTGTTTCCTAGGAAAATTTAAAAAAAAAAAAAAATTAAAACAATTAACCATTATTTGTACTGCTGTTGTCTTGCTCCTAATTCAGGTGCAGAGGAGCTCCCAGCCCAGTAATGTCCATCTGGAACAAATCCCAAACCAGAGCAAATTTAAGCAGGTGTGGCCTCTGCCAAATAAATATTTTAGGTAAATGCTGTAAATCCTACTGATTGAGCAGGAAGGTGTTAAACATGCTTTTCCACTGCCTGCAAGGCTGGATCTTAAGGGTGGCCGATCCTGCCCAGACACACACACAAAAAATTCCAGGCTGGGAAAGACAGGACAGCACATTTAGAACTTCATCAAAGCAGAGAAAAAGCAAGTTGCAGGAGCAACGGGGACCTCATGCTGTGGCAGAGCTGCAACTACATCAGCGAAGAAAGTATTTCTAATTGTAAAAAGATATACTGGTCCCTTCTGGCTTTATTTCCTGGCTTTAAAACGGCGTTCATTAGTTATTTTTTATCTGCAGTCAGCACTCATTGCTCTTAATCGTGTGCTCGTCCTGCCAGGCAGCGGTGCAGTGCAGAAAACTCCTTGAGCACACCTCCCGGGCCCAGAGCCCAAAGCCTGTGCTGGGCCGGGCCCAGCGTGGGCAGCAGGGCAGGGGGGATTCTGCCCCTCTCCCCTCAGTCAGAGCCCACCTGCAGAGCTGCCCCAGCCCTGGGCCAGCCCAGGAAGGAGCTGGAGCTGCTGCAGCCAGGCCAGAGGAGGCTCCAGCATGGGCAGAGGATGGAGCAGCTCTGCCGGCAGGAAAGGCTGGCACAGCTGCCATGGCTCAGCTGGGCAGGAGAAGCTTTGGGCTGAGCTCAGGGTGGCCTTGCAGGGCCCCAAGGGGCTGCAGGAAAGATGGACACAGACAATTGCCAAGGCCTGCAGGGACAGCACACAGGGAATGCCTCCCAGTGCCAGAGGGCAGGGCTGGCTGGGAGCTTGGGAATGGGGAATTGTTCCCTGGCAGGGTGGGCAGGCCCTGGCACAGGGTGCCCAGAGCAGCTGGGGCTGCCCCTGGATCCCTGGCAGTGCCCAAGGCCAGGCTTGGAGCAGCCTGGAACAGCGGGAGCTGTCCCTGCCGCGGCGGGCGCCTCACAGCCCCTCACGCACCGCCTCCCGCCCAGCTCCCCGCTCCTCCTCTTCCTCCTCCTCCTCTTCCCGTCCGTCATCACCGTGCGCGGTCCGGCCGTGCCGGAGCCTTAGCCTTAGCCTTAGCCTTAGGCTTAGGCTTAGCCTTAGCCTTAGCCTTTACCGGAGCCTTTGCCGGGCCATGACCCGCTGGGCCCGGCGGATCGCCCCGCCCGGGGCCCGGGCGCTGCCCGCCACCCCCTGGGAGCAGCTGGCGCCGAGCGGCGAGCCGGAGCCGCCGCGGGCAGCCAGGAGCAGGAGGAGGAAAAAAGAGTACGAGAACCAGGACGTGAACGGGTTCGCGGCACACGGCGGGGACGAGGAGGAGGCGCGGAGGAAGGACAGGCGGCGGGAGAGCAGGAGGCTGAGGAGGCAGGAGAGGAAGAGGAACGCCATGGTGAGTGCTGCCCTCAGACACGGGAGGCGGGCAGAAACCTTTCCCTTTTTACTCACTCTGGGAGTGTGTCAGCGCTCCTGAGGGGCTGGCATGGACAGTGCGCACGATTACACCCTCTGTAGGAAAATGTGTCGGGTTAAGGCTCGAGGGATGCCCGTGACAGCGTGTCCAAAGCAATCTAATCAAAGCAATACAATTACAATCTCTAATTCCTAGTAAAGCTCACACAGAGCACAGTCTTCACTCTGTGGGGAAGAGACGATGGGTTCAGCTGATCCCACAGATTACGATGGAGTCTTCCCAAACTTCTCCCTATTCCTAACCCACTTTTATGCTGTTTAGTTTACTTTTAGGTGGAGATTCAGTGACTTTAGTCACACATCTTAGTTAGGGGTGGTCACACCTTGGGTCGCTCAGGACTGCACTGAGCTTACCCTGGTCTGGGATGTGGTCAGTCCAAAGACAGGGATTTCACCACAGCTGCTGATCCCACAGAACATCCTCCTTTATCTCCCTTGCCTTTCAGCTGCAAGGTGCCACCAGGATCCTTCCCCTGAAAGGGCTTTGGCAGAGCTGTGGGGTCTCTGCCCTGCTCCACCCTCCTGTTAGTCCTGCCTGGATTGTGCTCCGTGTGTGGGGCTCCATCCAGGGAGTAGCCACTGTATTTTTCCTGAAATTTCCCCTTTTACCCTCCAGTTGTTTTCCCACAAGGTTGTTAATAGAGAGCCCCATGTGGGAGGCACAGGTCTCTCTCTCCCTGTGCTGCTGTGGGGCTCAGCAAGAGCTCAGCCCTCCCCTGCCACAGGCACAGTGTGTCTCAGGTGAAAGATGTGAAGATTGGAACAAAAGGTGGCTTTCAGCTCCAGTTGTAGCCTTTAGCATGGCTCTCCTGGCTCAGCACTGTTCCCCCTGACCCTTTGAGGAGTGCCCAGCCTCTCTTGGTTCCTGGGTGAAACTAACCCAGGTGATTTCAGTGTTTGGTTCATCAAACCGTGTGTTGCTGGTTAAAGGAGAAAAGTGCCCAAGTTTTGTGGTTTGATGGCAGAGCATAAAGTCTCTTCCTGGCTGCTTTTCCCTGGGGACAAAACGGTGTTTACTCTTTAGGGCCCTCTGAGCTGGGATTTCCAGGTTTTGAGTGCCACTGACAGAATTCATCCCTGGATTTTCCTCTTCCAAGGTGTGTTTCCACTGCAGAGAACCTGGCCACGGCGTGGCTGATTGTCCTGCAGTGCTGGAGAGCCAAGACATGGGGACGGGGATTTGCTACCGCTGCGGATCCACGGAGCACGACCTCAGCAAATGCAGAGCCAAGGTGGATCCAGCTGCTGGTGGGTCTCAGGAGTTTGTGCTCTTGTGAAGTGCTTGGGCCTGGATTGTCTGACTGCTGGCCCTGAGGCTTTGTGTGTTAGAAATTTAACTTTTGCAGTGTTATAGCGTGAAGTGATTAAAATATTGTCTTTGCACTATGTTGGGTCTGTGGTTTTGGTGTGGACCATAAACCCTGTGGAATTTTGCAGGGCCATTTCCATATGCAAAGTGTTTCATCTGTGGTGAGATGGGACATCTGTCAAGGTCGTGTCCAGATAATCCCAAGGGGTTGTATGCTGAAGGTGAGTGTACTGATTCACTAAATTTAGTAAAATTAAATTCCTGTGTCCTTCTTACCTGACACAGAACAAAGTAACACTGCAAGAGAATGAGCATGTGGCTAAAAGGAATTCCTGTGTATCTTTCAGTAAAAGCAGAGTAATTCTGGGGAATTAATTGTCAAATAAATTATGTGGGGATTTCTGTTTTAAGTGTAGGTTTAGTATGAAATGACAGGATGAGGTGCAAAGCGTGGGGCTTTGCTTGTGCCTCAGCAGCAGGACATGCACCAAGGAGCAAAATCCTGTGTGAATGAAGGCAGAGTACATGAACCCACGTAGGTGGTAGGGACATTCTCAGCTTAAAATTCTGGGAGGTGGCAAAACACAGGCTCTCACTAAAGGGGAGAGCATCTTCAGTCTGAGTAACTTTAGGGGGAAATGGGGTCTAACTTAGAAAGCCTCACTCCTCCATTGGCTCCAACAGCCAGAATTCTGTCTCTTGGTGTTTCCCAGCCCAAAGGTGGGGCCTTGGTGAACTCCAGAGGGTGGTCTTGCAGCACAGCTGAAGTGGAACAAAAATCACCTTGCTTTCAAGTGTTTGTATTGTGGAATTGTGTATTGTGCAGAATTTCAGAGATCATCTCCTGCCTCTCAGGAGCCCCTGTCAAGTTTATAAGTTCCTTTGAGTATGGATTTCAGCAGAATTCAGCCTGTTTCTCAAAAAGAGAGCTTCCAGCAAATCAGAAATACCCAGTAAGCAGTGGCTGGAATGTGTGGTGTGCGGTGCTTCCACAGACACAGGAAGGATGTTTTATTGGGTGTTTTTTGTGTATTTTGTGATGTTCTTTTCCCCTCAGACGAGTAACAGCTTTCTGTGTGAACAGGTGGGGGCTGCAAGCTTTGTGGCTCTGTGGAGCACTTCAAAAAAGACTGCCCAGAGAAGCAGAATGCAGGTGAGCTGCTGGGGCTGTGGGGTGGCTGTGGGTCCAGCAGGGCTCAGCTGCTGCTCTGCATGGCTTGGCCAGGGAACAGGCTGTGGGAAGAGAGCTTGGAAGCAGCAGAGGTGACCTTTTGTTGGGACACTCAGGGAGGGTGTGGAGGAGGCAGTAAGTTGCAGTGCAAAACAAAGATAATCCTTTTTTTAAAACAAAAGGTTTGTCTTGTATGTATCTGAAGGCTGTATGAAATAATCTGTTTTTGTTTTTTTTTTTTTGGCAGCACAGTAATTGTGCTGCTGTTCACAGCCTGGCAGCTGTACAGCAGAACTGGCTGCTGCTTTTTGCAGATTTCAGTGTGCAGTGGTGGGGCTGAGCCCAGTGCCAGGTGCAGGGTGGTGGTGTGTGCAGGCAGCTGTGTCAGGCACCCAGGACAGGGACAAGGAGGATCTGTCCAGCTGGGTTCACTGCTTCCTTACATCTTCCTCAGCTATCCATGTGGGTGGAAAAATTAAATTAGATACCCCAAACCCCCACTGTCCTACAGGAGGCAAAGCATCAAAAAAGGGTTTGAAGAATGATCCTATTACTGGAGTGGTGACACACTTGTGTATTTTTCTACTTTGTGTCTGTGACATTCAGTTAACGTGCCGCCTAATAATAAGCCACTTTGGTGAAATTTATGTAAGAAATATTTATGGCATTCTCTATATCTGATCCTACATTTATCATATTTTTAGGTCTCACACCATATGTAGGATTCTAGGTGTGTGCTGCTTTGCCAATTTAGGATGGGTCAGATTCAGTTGGAATTGGTATGACAGAAGTTTATGACACCAAAAGACTCTGAAATTGCCCCAAACTCATCTGCAAGCAGCAAGGCTGTGCCCAGTTGAGTTTTAGAAGCAAGATTTTTTCTCATTTTTTCTAGTATGTTTAGCATCCATAATGAGGACTGTAGGTGCTACTTATTTTACCAAGGGACTTCTTTCAAAACTAGCACTGCTGGTTAAAAACAGTTTGTGGTAGTTTTGGGGTCCCCAGGATGAAGGAGGAATGATTGAATCTGACTCCAAGTTCTTGGAAGGCTAATTTATTATATTATATTATGATATTATATTATTAAAGAATATTTACTAAAACTATACTAAATTATAGAGAAGGGATACAGAAAGAAGGCTAGAAAGAATGATAATGAAAACTCGTGACTCTCTTCCAGAGTCCTGTCACACAGCTGGCTGTGATTGGTCATTAAGTTAAAACAATTCACATGAGATCAATCAAACAATGACCAGTTGGTAAACAATCTCCACATTCCAAAGCAGCAAAAACAGGAGAGGCAATCAGATAATTATTGTTTTCATTTTTCTCTGAGGCTTCTCAGCTTCCCAGGAGAGGAAATCCTGGCGAAGGGGTTTTCCAGAAAATATCATGGTGACAACAGTTGAGTTACTTGGAGCTGTGACACCACTGGCAAGAATTGTGAGAACTGTGATATTTAAGATCAAGTGTGCATTGTGCAGGGTATGTTCAGGTACAGGAAGGCAGGTGAGAGCTGGCAGAGGAGTTCAGGGCCTTCCAGTTTCCTCAGCTTCCAGTTTCCTCAGGCAGATTGGGCCGGTGTCAGTGCCCAGAGGCTGGTGTGGGTTCCCGTGGCATTCCCTGTGTGCAGTGCTGGGGCACAGCCCAGGCCATGCAGGTGGCAGGGCTGGCCTGGAAGAAAAGCTTGGAAGCAGCAGAGGTGACCTGGCAGGGCTGGCCTGCCACTGCTGTGTTGTGTCCCTGACGATGTGTTTGTGGGTCCCAGGACAAGGGAAGAGATGAATCTGACTCCATATTTCTTAGAAGGCTGATTTATTACATCATGATATTATATTCTATTAAAAAGTGCTATACTACAGCTATACTAAACTATAGAGAGAAAAGATACATCAGAAGGCTAGGAAAGGAATGATTAGTAAAAACCCATGACAGACCAGAGTCCCAGCACAGCTGGACTGCAATTGGTCATTACGTAAAAACAATTTCACATGCTGGGTAAACAGTTCTCCAGATCACATTCCAAAGCAGCAAAACAGGGAGAAGCTGAAGCTTCCCAGCTTCTCGGGAGAAAAGATCCTGGCAGAGGGATTGTTAATAAAAATATCATGCTGACCTGTCCCTGCAGAGCAGGTGACAGTCGGGCGCTGGACCCCCGGCCTGAGCGCGGACCACGAGGACGTCGCGGCCGCGCCGGCGCCGCAGAGAGCACAGCCCAAGGCACCCAAGGTTGTCACTTTCTGAGGGCTCCTGCCTCCCAAGGAGTTCTCCTGAGCTGCTGCACTGGAGTGCTGACGACAGAGAGCAGAGCCAGAAAATCAGGCAAGCTGCAGAGGGACTGTTGCTTTTCTGTCTCCCCTCGTTTTCCCAGTTTGCCTCCTGAACTTGCCTGGCGTGCTGCAAAGCTGGGAACAACAGGAGCACAGCAAGTGGCTGTTTTATTAAAGGAATTGTGGGTGTTTTCTGAAGGTTCTTGTTGGATTCTGGTTTGGTTTTTGCCTTTTCCTTTCAGGAATAATGAACTTATTCCTCCACATGTTCCAGCTTGAGCAGTCTTGTGGTGAGGTTACAGATCAGCCCTGTGGGCTGCCGAGCTTGGGGTGCAGTTGCTGATGGTTGTTGGTGTTATTGTCAGCCATTAACCTGGTTGGTCCTGCACACTGGGTCGTTTCAGTGTGTTCACTAACAGAGTCCAGCTCTTCCTCTGAAGCCTCTGGTGAAACACACCCCTAAGGAATTGGAGAGCAAGTGAGAAGCATTCTTAGTTTCTTTACTTTTTTTTTTTCAAAGGAAATGCTCAAAAATCTGCAGTGTTTCCATGCCTTGGTGAGCTGGGAGTAAACTTTTTTTTGAAAAAAAAAAAAAAAACAACTGGTGGATATTAAACAGAAAAATTAAGAAACCCAACTCCAAACAGAGTTCCTGTATCTACCAGTATTACTGGAGAAGTGCACCCTGACAGTTTTCTTGCAGCCAAAGAAAAAATTTGGGGAATTAAATTATGTGGAGAGAATTTATATTTGTACAGATAATAATTTTTAATAAAATGTTGCTAAAGAATGTAGTGGTTAGAGGTCATATTTTAGATTTCTTGGTGCTGCTGTGGAGACTGAGATTGGAGAACTATGTTCAGTTTGTATTAATCAGAGCACATTTTTAAATGGGGAAGAGGAGTGGATGTGAATGAAACCAAGGATTAATTACGGAGTTTTAATTAACTGTTGCATAACTCAAAGCTGTCTGTTTAATGTGGACATTTTGGCAACAGACATTTTCCCCAGTTTAAGAAGCATTTCCCTTTCTATTCTGTGAATCAAGTATATTGTTTAAAAAGCATCTTCTTAGATAATTTCCCAGCTCCTTGGCTTTGTAATGTTCTTGCAGCCCATGGACTTGTCCTGTGCTGGTGGTGCCCAGTGAGGGCTGGTGCAGGCAGTGGTGGTGCAGCTCCCAAGGAGGGGCTGATCTCCAGCTCCTGCAGGGCAATCTGAGCTCTGACTGCTCAGAAAAAAAAAAAACACTGGCTAGGTGCACCCGCTGCTGTTTCACAGAGGGATGCGTGGCTGCAGGAAGCTGTTTGGAAAGCACCTGGAGAGGTGCTGCTCGTGAAGGTGCGACTCCATCAATTCGCAGTGCTGGGCTGTGCAGCATCTGGGCTGGCTGTGTGCAGAGCCAACATTAGGGGTCTCTGTTCACCAGCGCTGGGATCCCGCGTTACCTGTGCAGCCCGGGGCTGCTCTGCCGTCACCTGCACGCCGCAGGGCTCCGGGGCAGAGCTGCTGCCGGCGGGGAGCTGCAGCCTCCTCAGCCTCCTTCACACACCGCCTGGGTGGCTTCTGTGCTCTGGAGGGGGCTGCCTGGGCTCCCACACTGAGTGCTGCACTTCATCCACGTGAATGAAAGGCTGATGCAGAACCAGATTGCATCTGTGCTCCTTGCTGCAGGCGCAGTGGCCTGGAGCTGTCTCCCCTGCATTCCTGGCGAAGCACAGCCCGGTGGGGTGGCCCAGCAGGCAGAGCTGTGCCCAAACGGAGCATCCTGGGGGTGTCACCTCTCCGGTGTCCCCACAGGCCAGGGCACACCGGAGAGGTGACACCCGCAGGGCTCCCCTCGGTGCCTCCCCTGCCACGCTTCTGCCGTGCAAAGCGCTGGTGGGTTCTGTAAATGCCTGCAGCAGGCTCTGGTCTGGCTGCGGGGCCAGCTGAAGGCGTGTCCCGTGCCAGCCCGGAGAGGTCTCCCCCTGGGCGCGGTGGCACTGCAGTGACACGGAGTGGCGGTGCTGCAGCTCAGCCCCAGATCCAAATGCTGATGAGCTCGCTGCTCTGAGCTCCAACACAGCAGCACACGAGGCAGACGCAGCTCAGCACAGCCCGGAGCCATCCCCGTGCTTGCTGGGCAGGAGTGCACCCAGGAATCCTGCTGTGTGTTTCTGCAGCCTGGCACAGCTGGCACAGGCTGGATGGAGCTCAGGGCTCTCCTGCAGAACCCACCAGCACTGCAGGGCAGCCTTCTGCACCCCCAAACACTGGGATGAAATGAGTCTGTAACCTCAGAAACAATAATTTATTGGGAGTCACGGATAAAGGGACAAGTACTGAAGTACAGACATTAGCAAACATTAATTTACATGGGCTATAATCAGTTTATAAATAATGGTGTGCAAGGACCTGCACGGCCAGGTCAGGGCACTGGCAAAGCTACTTGGTAGCAGTGGTTTCTGCAGATTACAAGGGATGGTATTTTAAAACAGCCTGGATGCCACTCTGTTTAATGTAACATTAAAATAGTGCAATAGTCTTATGAACTACAGCTCTACTGAGCCAAGTTCTGCCTCCATTTATATAAAATTCATTAATGCAATCAAAAGCAGAATCTGTTCCTTAATCTTTTTTAAATTAAAGATTGAATTTAGAGCCTAAGGCCTAAGCTTGGTTTGATAGGAAGTGCTTGTACCAGGTATTTTCAGGCTGAAGCCCAACACTGACTACATGATCTGAAGCAAGTCACCTACAGGAGAATGATCGACACCCTTGCAGGAATTTCAGCCAGAACTGCTTGATAATCCTCAGATGTCCCTTCAGAAATCTGCTTTTAACTTCAGCACTTGCTGTCTTCCAGCTCCAAGAACTTTATACACTCCAAAGCAGTGTCTTCAATTGATTTTGATGAGCCAGTAAGATTTGCAGCTAAGTAAGGCATAACTCCTGATGTCACTTGATTGAAGTAACACACCTGTTTGAACAAAAGCAAATGAAACAAAAAAGCCTATGGATTGCAAGTTAGCCATTTTTTTGCAGAGCCTGGATGAGTACCAGAGCTTTTTTGGATGTGAATAGAAGCACACAGTGCTTCTGAAACTGAAGGCAATAATTTGCAAAAAGCATTCCTTTTTTTCCACTCCAGTGATCTGGGTGTCCTCGCTGCTCTCAGACCCTCCAGCATCTGCAGGTAAATTAACACAGCAGTGCAGCAAGAAGCACTTGTGTATAGCATGTTAAATATCTGTGTTTTGTGAGCAAAGCTGTTGCCCAAAAAAAGGACTTGCAGCCACCAAGAGCTGCTGAAAGTTTTAAGAAATGTGTTTTCTTAAATGGAAAAGTTTTAGCCTTCCCATGGCAAAGAAGATTGGCATGGGTCCAGAGATGGAAATCAGATTGTGTGATTCCTGGCATACGAAAGTTCAAGCGAGGAATTTAATTTGAACTAATTCCTTGGCCTTTGTAGTGAGTGGAAAGAGAGACACACAACCAGAGACCAGTGCAATGCACAACCTCTAGAAGTCAGTGAATAACTCTGGAAGGGCAGGGCAGCCTCCAGTGCTCAGTTCAGAGCTCACTTCTAACAGATTGGCCAAAGTTGGGCAAGATAGACTCCACACACCCAGACTGAACTTCTTTTTTGGAGGTATTTTGCTGTTCCCTTTGAAGTCTATCAGCTCAGGTGAGGTGACAGCCCCAGGACAGGGGGGACAGGGCAGGGGGCACAGCTGGGCCCTGCAGGGCTACTCACAGTGCAGGAGCTGCTGCTGTTGCTGTGGATCTGGAAGCCAGCACAGAGGATTTCACTCCTGCAGAACTCCGGGCTCGGGGGCACTGCCCTGAGGGTCACCGACCTCACAGCCACCGTGTAGGGCTCCCTGCAGGGCAGGGACAGGCATCACACCCTTCCTCTTGTTGCAAGCATGCACAGAAGTGACTACAGCGTGTCATTTTCACAGGAGGGCAGAGGACCTCGGTTGTTTTCAATGATCCTGGCTCAAAGCTGGGGCTCTGCTGAGCCTCAGTGAGGCTTCAGCACAGACTCCAGTCCAGGAGACCTCTGTGGCAGCCAGAGAACAATTCCCCACCTTTTCTTTTTAATTTACCCTGCTCTCCTCAGCCCACGGTTACTGCATCAGGGAATAACCCTTATCCAGAGGCTTCACAGTGTGGCCACAGTAAAAGTATCCAAACTCATCCAATCCCCTCATGGAGGGGGAAAGCAAGCACAGTACAGAACACTGCCTTTTAGTGCTAACTTGAAGAATTACTGAATGTGAAAAAAGAAACGGAATAGAGAAGGGTAAGATACACCAAAAGGTTCCATTTGCCCGTGTTTCACTATGTAACAACAAAAGGAGATCTAATAAAAAATAATACAACTTTTAAAAGTATGTTAAACTAAGCAAGGGACTTGGCAGAATTTAGAGATACAATCAATGTGTGAAATTTCAAGAACTTCCTTGACTAAATAAAAACTCTGTAATTACATGGAATGGGAGTACACAGTGACTTCAAACAAACAAAAACCAAACTCCCAGCCAGGTGCTTCAGCCCACTGACAGGCTCTCCTGGACATGATTGTTTTTCTCCATTTGCCCATTTGAAATTCTGGCCTATTTGCCCTCCTGGTAGACCACTCCCAGAGAGTCACTATCAAAGAATCAGTACTGGACTATGCTACAAATTTGTGATGATCTGTATTTATTTCATTGCACCTTCACATTGCAAAGCAGATCTGGTTGTACAAACTCAGGCATCAACCAAGGAATCTCACACCTTAGAAAGTAAAATGCCATCCTTGTCACCCGGTGACAGGTCAAGGTGACAGGACTCCAGACTGTGGCCCCAAAGTGCTCAGAGTGAAAATCAGAGCCATACTCACTGTGGCCTGCTGGGCTGCCTTTGGGACACCAGAATCACAAAGTCTCTGGGCTGGTGGCCTGTCATGGGGGCAGAGGTGACGTGGTAGATCTTCTCCTCCTCACTCACAGCCTGCAGCACCTCACACGTCCTGTGAAAACATCCAGCACACACCTCAGGCCCTGCTGTGTGCAACAGCAGCTCCTCCAACAAACTCAGTGCAAATGGGCTCCATCCTGACACAGAACCTTTCGTTTCCACCTTCCAGCAGCAAGGCAGAGAGAGTGAAACATTTAGGTTTTCTGCAACACCTCATCAGCAGTATTTCTTTAGGTTCTGTTTGTTACAAGCTGTAAATTCAGTAGAGTTTGTAGATTTTTAAATATCCCTAAGGTTCCACTTCCACCCTCTGGTAAAAATCTTTCAGGATGTAATAACTAACTGAAAATGCTTCACCAAATCAAATTAGTATAATTTCAATTCAACTCTCTCTAATCACTATTCTACACCATAAAAGGTAAATAAAAAACCTCAAACACCTTTTAGAGCCATTCCAAATCCTGTTTCAAATCACACAGACTTTCAAACATGTTATTTTTCTGAAAATATGCATTTTGAAGGATCCCATTTCTTGATTTCTTACTTTGACTGTACAGTAAAACTGAGCATCAGTGTCCCTAACAGCACAAACATGAAGGAATCCAGCTTCTCCTCAATTTTTAAGGCTAGCACACACAATATATCCACCTCAGTTCTTAGTTTAAACTTTTCCTTTTTTCACTCCTTTTGGGTTTTTGTCACTTTTAACATACACCTGCCTAGGACTGGAACTGTGCTCATTTAGAAAAAAGATGACCTCTGTCCTATCCCTCTCCTTTGACAGAGCACACTGTATTTTGGAACCAGAATAAGCACAAACCACATTTTACTTCTACACTAAAAAAAACCCCACAACTCACACTTTGACTAATGAACATTTGATGTCGAATTCTTACAACACTTTGTTCCTAACGGGGCAGGGTCTCACAGGAGTGTCTGTGACAGAGAAGAGGAGTGGCCAGGGGGCTCAGAGCCCCAGACAAGGACAGGGTCTCACAGGAGGTGTCTGTCCCAGCGCTGGCGGAGGCTGAAGTCGGACAGGAGGGAGAAGGCCACGTGGGATGGCACCTTCACCTGCATCTCCACCTTGAATGACAGCACAGCACCCTCCTCGTGGGTCCAGATTTTCACCTGCAAGGAAAAAAAACAAAACCCAGCATGTGTTAAAAATAAAGAATGATTACTGTAAGCATTTAGATGCATAAATGTTACACATTTAGGACTTCAAGCAGGTTTGCTCAGGAGCTCCTGGGAAATGCCACACGACTTTGTCCAGGTGAATCAGCCACCCTTGGCTTAGCCCTCTTGCCCCTAGAGCAACCCAGCACTTCCCTTTCCAAAATATCCTTCTTTTTCTCCCTTGCTGTCTTCTGTGAAGAAGAGCACTCAGAACTAATGATACTCTGAATAACTACTCAAAATCACGGTTTTGCATCTCTTGCCCCACACCTGTACTATCTTGCCTTGATTATTTTGGGTCTATTTGTATTCATAGACCTCAACCCCAAAGCGGAGAATTCAAAAGGAATAACCTGTACATAACAATGCACACACAAGAAGGTTTTGTCACCTCCCACAAACCCCATAAAATGGAAGAGGATGGGTACAACAGAATGTTTACAATTAGAGGATTTTATTCCCAAATTCATGTGCTTTTTTGCTTCTCAAATCCTGAGAAGTTAAAGAGATTTTCATTTTCAAGTGATGCAAATTCATAAGGTTCATCATCACTGTTGAGGTTTTGATGTTTTGGGGTGTTTTTTTTTCTACATCAAAAATGAGCAATCTTTTGATTTTTCCAAATTTCTGCAACAACACAGATTTTGTATTTCTCTCAATTGTCCTATCTTGGAAGAGAAACCAAGCCCCTGCATAATCCAGCAAGAACCTTGCTGAAGTAAAGTTTGGTGTAAAATTAAATGCTTAAGAGCTTTAAAAACCATCTACAGGAGGTCTGCATCAATATTCCTCTAAAGGCACAGAACAGAAATCATGTTGTTCTAGGAGTCTTCTAGACTTGAGAAATCACAAAACAAAGCAGGAGGCACAGCTGTCAAAACACCTCCCTGCTAAGTGAACGTTGGCAAGGCTGGATTGTCTCTGCCTTGTGGTTTTGTGTCAAAGACATCAGAGTGTCATTTCACACCTTCAAAAACTGTCACTCAGCCTGGGGTCATTCCAGTTGCAGGGAAAGGGAACAAATCCTCTGCACTTCAGGGTCATTCCCCCTTGTGCAGTCCCTCTCCAGACTTCTTGAAAGCCCCCTTTAGGTACTGGGAGGTGCTTCAAGGTTTCCCCAAAGCCTTCTCTTCCCCAGGAAGAGCAGCCTCAGTTGTTATCTCTGCCTGTCTCCAGGAGCTGGTTCAAGCTTGCTTTTCCCAGTGTTACCTGCTGTTTATTTGGCATAGCAGTGTTTACTGGAATATTTAACCACTGGAACAACCTACACGTGGCACTGGCAGTTTTGCCATCACTGGAATTCCTTATGATTTGCATCTGCTCTTACTTAAGTATCTATCTTACTGTCTACAGGCAAGAGTCACTAAGCAATGTTTCATAGCCGGCAATGCACAGGAGGTCAGACTGAAATACTGCAAAAGTCATTTATTGTCCCAAAACACCTCTGGATCTACATGATCTTGAAGTAAAGTGTCAGTCACTAGCCACATTTCAGAAACCCAGCCTTGGCAGATGCCAGCTGTCTCTCCATTTTCTGGAAAACATGGAAAACATGCACTGCAACAGGGTTAACACCAGGTTTTCCCTTGACTTTCTTCTGCTTTTCCTAGCAGCATCTTCCTCTGCTAGAAGTGGGTTACACACGTGTCCTCACTGATTTTGGGTTTATAACACCACCTCACAAACAGGGAGGTGCTTTGCTTCAGAGTTCTGTAGTTTCTTTTCTGCACTTACATTATCCAGAGTCTTGGTTATGTCCCACCCTGGTTTTCCTGCCAGGTGTGTCAGTGCAGCTATGTTGCTGTAACTCAAATAGGCCTGAAACACAAGACACGTGTCTGAAAATGGAGGGGTAAAGGTACATTTCACTGAACATTGCAGAAATGAGGTGTTCTTTTTTTCCATCATTATGCTTCAACTGCAAACAAATGTTTATTTTCCTCCTAAGTGAAAACACACTTCAGTAGTTTCTGAATTAAAACACTTCCAGTGGCTTCCTGATGCACTCACATGGCTGTTGGCAAAACAATCTTAATTAAAGGACAACAAAACCCTATTTTCAGCTTCTCCAGTTATAAAGCTATGAAGAACAACTTTGACCACCAGGGAGACAATACAGATAACCTCTCAGACCACTGAATTAATGGTTTTGTCCATCTTCCTCTTAAGTAATTAGAATCTACTCGAAAATTAACCTCTTCTGTGCTACCAAGCTGGGTCCATCTCGGCAATTGTTTTTCACAGCAGGCTCACAAGCAAAGAAAATGCAAATATATCCATTCTTTATGCTTGGCTACAGTGGATGGAGTTCTCATTTAACCACTCTATAAAGAGAATACAGCCTTAGAGTCTTCATTGACAGGGTTTGTTTTCATAGGAAATAAATCTTAAGCAAGCCTTTTTCATCATTGCATGCATTTATCATTGTGTGCATTTCATTTGTTGCTCTGCAGAAAAAATAAATAAATAAAGCTGCTTTAGCCACAAAAACTGGTCACTGAAACAACAATTAGCTTATCTATAAATCCACCTAAGGTCAGGTTCAGCACCATTCACTGCAGGACACAGGCACTGTCAATGGCCCAGCAAGTCCAAACCAGAGACACTTGGTACAGGGAATATGGGAATGAACATGACTTCACCTCTCTATCCACAGATTTATGCTATCCCAATGTTCATCTCTCTGCTGCTATCTCTCCCCCCACTTTTAGCACTTACTAAATTATTTCCTCACTGCAATTTTTCAGATATTCTGTGGCTGGATAAAGACAAAAACCAAAACCCCCAAATTACTTCCTCTACAGTAGAATTCAGCTTTTATAACAGCTGGGGACACTGAGGGATAAATCTGCAGGAGACCTTAAGGGACCATTTGTATGCATCTGTTTTAAAGAAAATTTTTTATTCTTTGTATTGAACTTACTTTTACATCAATAGTGAATCATCTACTCTCTCTTTTTTAAAGAGAAATTTCACTGTGTTACACATCCATACATTCCTCACGACTACCACAAAACTTCAGAGGGTCCACCTGTACTGCCACAGCCTGAGCAGCTGCTTCACACACCCCAAAAGGTGCACAAAATCAGCTTTTTATGCACCTACAGATTACCTGGTTGCTTGTCTCCCAGGCATCAGAGGGCTTGTCTCCTTTAGCAGATAGCATGCATTTTCTAAAACATAATTAAAGAGACACAGTAGCATAAACTGGTTCTTTACACATCTTATGCTAGGAAAAATCACTTTCTGTAGGTTTAAGTGTCTTCTAAATACAGGTACTTTATCAATTTTTGGTTTGCAATAACTGCTTTTTCTTTCCAAGAAAGACAGTGAAACACAATAACCTCCAGAGCAAAGTAATTTTCAGACAAGTAGCCTCTAACAATTTCAGTGCCACTGAAATGAAATTATTTATAAATGTAAGCCATATAACAGCCATATATACGTTAAGGAGAGTTCAATTACTTTATTTAGAGGACTATGAAATTAAGTTTTTAAAATCAAGACCTGCTTGTGACTCAGCTATACCTGGTGAGTCGAATCCTCCTCCTGGCAATAGCTCCATGGTACCTCCTCACACCATCCTGCATGAAAAGTGAACCAGAGAGCAACACATCTCAATATTTTAGAACAAAGCCTGAGTAAAGACAACTAAAAATTATTTATTCCAGATGGGCAAATGCCAGAGCAGTAATACAAGCAAATATAGAGTAATTGTGCAATGGCCTTTCCACAAGCTTACCCAAGTAAACAGGTGGTTTAGTTTTTGCTTTAGCAATATTCTCTGAAAATTGAAAAAACCCAATGTGATAGGAGAGCTGTATCATTGTAGCATCCTCCTGCTGCTGTTTGGTCCTAAAGCACTGGCAGCTGGGCAGTGCACCACACACATTCTGCTCTTTCTAAATATGCCACCCACCAAATAAATATTAACCCAATTTATCATCATCTGGTGTTCAAAGCACAAAGGGAAATTGTATTTTTCAAAGTCAGTTTCTCCTCTTGGGACAGCCTGCAATGAGCAGTAGTGAAACTTACTGCCCCAGTGAGTACATAAGACACCTTGATTCATTTGTCTAGTCCCCATCCTATAAAAATAAGGTCTCTGATGTTAAAAAATAATTTCATTTCTGCCTACACTGGCTGTCTAAAATTCTTGTAACTGGAGCAGGAAGATTAGTGACAGGTATTAAAACAGCAAATAATTCAACAACAGCATTCAAACTGCTTCAAGTGCTTCATGAACCACTTTCAGGGAAACATGAACTGAGATCTCCATGTCAAAGGAACTGAAAAGCCCACCCACTTCATGGGATTTGATTCCCACAGACTTCTTTATTCGCTCTATTTCTCATCTTTGTTAAGGGTTTATAAAAATAACTATTCACTGAATACTTACAAATTTCATCTACAGTCAGTGGAAACTGCACAAGACGTAGACAAGTGGAAAAATCTCCAAACACATCATACTCTTCTCTGCCCATCAACCACAGAATCTCTAGCCATGAGGATCCTCCACTGAGCCTCTCACTTTTGGAAGACTAAAGCTAACAATAACAAACCTCTCACTCGAGGGCAAACCTTTCATTTGGAGCTTTTGTCTCCTGCAGAAAGATGCACTGCAGTGCCCTGCTTGGTCCTTGCTTCCCCAGGAAGGCTGTGGTGACCACCCCGCTCCTGAGAGCTCACCTGAGTCGTGGGCTTGACCCTGGGGAAGGTGAGCAGCTCCCCTTTGTCATCCAAAGCATTAAAAATGAGGAATGCACTGTTAATGTGCCGTGGCTGGTCCTGGATCCACTCCTCACAGTTGTAAGCCTCCACACGGACACCAACCTCCACACTGAAAGGGAAGTTTAATTAAAACACTGAACTGCTGCCAGTGATGCAGAAGCAGCCCTGAGACATGCTGGAAAGGACTGCAGTACCTCCAGGTGTGCAGGAAGCCTGACTCAAATACCTTCTGTAGCTTAGCAAATCAGTTACTCAATCTGGACTGGCACACTTCTGAAATAAAATAAACGATGGCAGTAGCTAAATAGCATTAACAAAAATAAGCAATAAATAGAATGCAGTCTGTCCACCAGTGCCAAGATGGGAAGATCCTGGCAAGAAGCTGGCATCTTCTGAAGAGTCAAATCTATGGGAGCAACTCAGCCCTTGAAAATCCCTGAATTTCAAAGGAATATTTATTGTCTGCATTGACAGGAATGGGATTTGGTGACAAATGATCTTTGAACTGAAAGTCAGAGAAATTTTTTTTTTAAAAACTTCTACTGATAAAAGTGAAACAAAAAAAAGAGGCACATATAGGCAGTCACAGATATAGATACATGCCTCGAAGTCACACCTGAAAAATAATTAATTCACTAATGAAAACCCTACTGATGAAACCTGAAACACACAGTGTAGGCAGGTGCTGGAGATGCCCAGGGAGACAACAGATGTGGAGCTTTACCTGTTGTGGAAAGTGTTGTTGACAATGGCATTGAAGACCAGGCGGTCACCCACAAAGGATGGCCCCCAGAATTTGAACATGTTAACAGCCTTCAGGATGGGGTGTGAACGACACAGGCGGCTGAAACAGAAACCAGAGAGACAGACCAAAACACACAGTTGTGCTAAAAGCACAGCCGGCGCGACTGACTACAGAAACGGGGCTTGCAGGACCTGGAAGGTCACTCAGTTACACTGATCTACTCCATGCTACCATGTTCAGCTCCAAGAGCATGTAAGTCGAGCTTCAACCATCATAACATCACTTATGTCATGCTGTTTCATTTCCAACACGTTCTACAAACACCAATTAGTTCTCACTGCTTGAGACTGCCCTCTCTTAAAGCCAGACCATGAATCCCTTACCTACAGAGTAACCACTTGCCTCACAGTTTCATTAATTTCTGTAGGGCTGCACGGGGAGCAGGCTCCTGAGCAGTGTAAAAATGCCAGACCTTAAAGCCTTTAAACAATTAAAGGAAACCTGAGCAGAAAGGCTGAGCACCAGGGACACTGTCCAAGCAATGCCATGCCAATTTATCTAGTCTTAATATTTGTACATTTTGCTTATTTATAGATGCTTTCTGCTAGTTTCATATGAAATTAGAACTAAAACCCCTTATATATATAGATAAATAGATAGATATAGATATAGATATAGATATAGATATAGATATAGATGATACAGATATAGAGATAGAGATAGATATAGAGATATATAGATATAGATAGATATAGATATAGATATATAGATATAGATAGATATAGATATAGATATAGATATAGATATAGATATAGATAGATATAGCCTCACATGGCTACCAGATGCAGTCTGTGTAAATAGAATCTTGTTTCCAAGCTCTCTGGAGCAGGCAAAAATCAGGTTTCTTCATCAGTTCTGCATGTATTCAAAGCCCCTCACTTTCTACTGGGATGTCTGTGCATCACAGAAAGAGGGGACAATATACAACATATGACATTTCTTTTTAGCAACACACTGCTCTCAGTAAGGAGCCCATGTGCACATCCAGGATAGATTGTTCCATGGTGAAGTTTTCTAAATTTGAAAATACAGTTTTGTAGCACTTCTAGCTTTTAACTCAACTGCACTTTGAAAACTAATGTACCAGTATTGTTAAATGCACACAATTATCTCCAGCTAATTAACTGACTGGTACATCTCTTCAATAGTCTAATACATTTGAATTACTTTGTAATTAAATTAAAATAATTTGCTCCTCTGATTTAAAATGCTAAGCGTTGATTTTATTTACAATGTTCACTCTAAAGATGCAAACACAATAATGATGAGGAGAGGAACAAACCAGAAATCAGACTTAAATATTCATTTCTTTCCTGGAAAAGTACACCCTGAATGCTTTTATTGCAAATGTAAGGAACAAGAAAGTATCCATCAAGTTCAAGCTAATATTACTAATATTCAAATTGTTTTATTGCTATCTGCAAGATTTTCAAAATTGACCAAAAAAAGGTAGTGGGCAGGCAAGAAGGAGAGTGAGTAACCTTTAAAATGCCCTTAGAAATTTTATTTTTCTAGGGCTATCCTTCCTCTTCTCTTCCTCCATCAGTTTATGGCCATAAAAGTTGTTACCTGGCACCTTCAAAGGTGGGGTCTGACTCTGAGTGGCCTCACAAAAGGTTCATAGTGAGAGTGGTTACTTCTCAAGCAAAAACTACAACATCTCTGCTTTCACCCAGCCTCTGACACCAGCTATTATTCCTGAAATTATCAACATGAGTAATCATGTTTGACATTAATTAGTTTGAAGAGAATTTGTCCAGTACTCCATTTGCTGATGTCTCCCTTCCTTTTTTAAATCTAAATGCGACTCCCACAAGCTAAAATTTATCAGATGAATACAGGTAAATATTCTGAGTCATGTTATGGCAAAAATCTGCATCAGTCCCTTCAAGCCACTGGAAGTGCACGTGGGGTAAGGTCAGTGCACTCTGTTGTTACTAAAACAAGTTGTTTATCCAACCACTACAGAAAATCTGTTGTTATCAGTACAACCACTGGCTACAAATCAAAACCATATGAATAATGAATGGAGAAGTCATTTAATTATTAAAGATAAAAAGGGAAAACATTTCTAACGTCCCTGCAGTGAATTAGGTCACTCGGTATGCAAGGAGAATTCAGACTGAAACTTGAGGGCTGCTCACAAAGAAGCTTTGTGCAGTGTCCAGGAACAGGAAGGGAGAAAAACAACGGTTTGACTCCAGGGAAGAGGAATTAAGTGATTATGTGCCTGGGTCACACTGACAGCAGTGTCACAAAACATACTTTGTTCTTTTTACCTGAAGATGCCCGAGCTCTTTAAACTGCTAAAATTGTTGCAAGCCATAGGATGTGCAACTCAGAGGGCCTGAAAGGTCAAGTGACTTGCTGAGGGTTATGCATCCATTCTGTGCACATACCAACAAAACAGAGCCTGTTCATGTGGATCCTTTTTCTCTGACTCATTTTTCTTCTGGCATCACGAGGATCTGCAAAGTTCTAGCAGGCTGTTAGTTTTTGGATGTCACTTGATACAGGGTGAGTATCGGTTTTATCCTGATTAAACACCTAACTTTGTTTCTAAAACACTGCACCAAGCACAAGGAGAGCAGGTTTCTGTTCCTGTATCCAGTGTTAGCTTTCTGCAAAGATTCCCAGGAAGGTAACACAGCCTCTTTTGCCTTAGGCTCTGTATGTGTAACAGAATAATGTCTGAGTCTCAGTGGCATGGCATGCTGTGGGAGATGTACCACTTAAATAGTTCAAAGGCCTCCTGTAATGTGAGGAGGAAGACAAGTCACAAAGGCCTGGGTCTGTACTATTCATAAAATAAATCCCTGTGAAACCTTTAACATTAAAAGCACATCCACTTAGAACCACATGCAGAGACAATGCTGTAGGAAAGTACCTTGCTGAAATGCTTGCCACTGTCTGCATCCAAGCCATGATCTGGCCACCAAAAGTGTTTCCATGATGGTTTGCATGAGGAGGCAGGACAAGCTCAGTGCTCTGTACGTGGGTATGCTCAGTTGAAACTGCATCTTTCTCTTCACAAGTATCTGAAACACAGCAGCAATACATCAATGAATGCTTTCAGAAGAAAGCACACCCAGTGAAGAGAGCAGCTTGCTTCAGACTCAGCAAAAAGAAGAAAAACGGAAAGGCACAGAAGAACCTCGTGGTTTGCAAGGGGAGGAATAAGAGGCTGAACATTTTCTCTTTTCTCCCAGGAGCTGCTGCTGCCAGCCCTCAGTGCATGCCCACATCCCTGTGTCAGGGGCAGTTCTGTGTCCCTGTGTACAAATCTTGTAATTGCCTGAGACAACACCTGAGTGAAATGACTGAAATGAGGATCTGAACCACCTTGTATCACCTGAGCATTTCTGATCTCTCAAGTGTTTAGCCATGCATCCTCACTCTAATCTCAATTCTTTTTGGTCGTGTTTCACAGGAAAAGATTTAGGCACGAGATTACATCAAGTAATTTTAAAAGTGCCTATCTGTGCTAGGAGCTGCTGGTCCTGAATGGTACTTTTGACTTGTGCCATAATTAGCTAACTTTGTGATTATGTAAGTGTGTGGAAACATATGACTAACTTGTACTTTGGACCTACTCAAGGTGTTCCCTAAGATCCACTCGTCAAATAAACCTCACTTTCAGGGTATGATTTGTGCATATGCTGCTACCTAGCAGCTTTTACACACAATGTTCTCTCCTCTCTTCTCCCACTCTGCTTGTTCTGTCTCCTTAAGGAGGTGAATTAGTGCTACAATAATATCCTTCAAAGAAGTTTCCAGGAAAGGCAGTGGAGACAAAACCCATCGCCCTCTGATTTGTCACTCAGGTTATTAAACTGTACCCTGTGAGACAGTTACCGTGAAGACAGATAGCTTGTTTTCTTGTACCAAACAAGACTCTTCAGTTCTACGAAGTCCTACTAAATTGTTAAGGTTAGATCTTTGTTTATAACAGGTTTAATCTCTCCTCAGTAAAGCCACATAATGCCTGTTATTTATACATGGAGCTAGAGCTAAGATTTTCCAAATACCAGCACATCTTCTTAACTGCTCTGAGTAATCTCTTTTGTGGGGGAACACAACAAGTTATGAGTGCAACTTTCTTTAAAAACAGAAATTACTCCCATATATAAAGAAGAAGCTGTTTCTTCCTTATGTTTTTCTAACTTTTTTACCTGTTCTGACCCCCATGTAATGAAACTTCTGCTTGTTGGGAATCATCTTGGGGCATAAACACAGTCCTTACTTTCCTTTCTGGCAAAGACATGGCCATAAGCCTGAGTGAATGTCATGCTTCTGTCTACATCACAGCTAGTGTCACAGAAGTTTATTGCTGTGTTTATTGCTGAGTTCTGTGTGACCTGTGAAATCTCACACACAGAACCACGTGAAGATCTGCATTTCACATCTCTTTAATGGACACCTGGCCTTCAACTCTGCCTTTTTACTTCTGGGATTTCTGAGAGACAAAGAAATATCACTCTGTTAGAATAGCTGCCTAACACACCTCTGGCACCTCTATCCACAAATCTGGCAAACTCCTCTACCTGACACCACAACCCCAAGGAGATGTTTTGCCAGCTTTTTTCCTTCCTTCCAATTGCCCATAAGTGTTCCACCTTCTGAGCTGAGTACAGAAATCACCTTCCTTATTGCTCTCCTGCATCAGCTTTTGAAAGACCTGGACGTAGCCCAGACGGATTCTTCTCCTCTCAATAGCCAGGCTGTGCTCCAGGTGGTCTTCTGCAGACAGAAGCTGCACAGGTTTTAACTCAACCTGTGCAAATGTGGAGGAAAAAAATTCAACAATTCTGAATTTCACAATCGAAACAAAGCGCACTTTGAACTTGAAATGGCATCAGCATTTTCTACAACTTTTTCCTATCAGCTGTCCAAGATGACAAGTTTAATAATACAACTAACACAGAGTACAAAGGTCAAGGGATTCTGCATTATCCTTTCAGAATCATTCACTAAAATTCAATGACAAAGTGCTTTTAGCTTCTAAATACAAACATCCACGAGAGCACACAGTGTTTAAGACAGTTCTCATTTAAGGAAAAAAAAAAAAAAAAAAAAAAAAAAAAAAAAAAAAAAAAAACCCCAAAAAAAAAAAAAAAACCAGGAAAAGATGAACTTAATAAGAAGGTTTGAGGATAGAATTTTTGAACCAGATATTAAATTTGGTTGCATTTGTCAATGGTGTCAGTGCAAATTCCTGTGTATGTCAGTTCAATGACAAACTGCATCCAAACCAAAGGTAGTCATCCATCCTAAGGCAGTAATTTTAATAAAATTACTACATTTGGATAATTACACCACAGGTGACCCTGAACAATCACTTGTGAGATTTGTCTAGAAGGCCTAGCCTCAGAAATATCAAAATAATGCACAAAGCAGTGCACCACAGACAAATTCAACATTTTGTGTCTTGCAGTGCTGCCACTAATGTTTCTCAGCTTTTGAGTCTTCCCTCTAACACTCTTGCAGATTCACTGCATCCTTTCCAGTCCCTTTCAAGAGCTTTCTAGATTTTCCCAGATGGCCCAGATAAAAAATTAAGATGGTGGGTATATTGAGATTCTCTATGTACAACTGTTTAGAAACAGTTGTTCAGAAAAGTGGATTTGGAAAAAATATTCTTCAATGTCTCTGAGACTTTAGTTTTTGATGGAATTTGAACTGAACTCTCAAACTCCCTCTGGGACATTCCTGTCCTAAGCCTAATCTTAGTTAATCATCACCAATTCAATCCTGAATTAATCTCCCCAGAAATTTGGGCAAAAGGTAAACAGGTTTATGTTATGAGTATGATATCAAACTAATAACAAACAATTCTCACTTGATAATATTTCAGTGCTATCAGGCTAGCAATTTAGCCATTAGCCCTTCAGAGACAAGAGCTGGGCTGTAGTTTTGGTAAAACTGCTCCAGTCTGTTTCTTCTCCAAACTGTGGCACATCCTCAGAAGAGAGAGCAGTAGTGACTGGATGTATTAATTGCTCATGGGATGACTCTGCCAATCTCCAGTGGGTGTTTAGCACCAGATGTGCAGTCATAACACATGCAGGGAGACAGGAAAGTCAGACACATGATGTCACATTCAAGAAAGTAGGATTTTACATGCAAAAGGAGTTTATTAAGAGAGTCTGAGGAGTGTTTGGCCTTCCCTACAAGAAAATTCTGAAAAGACTGTGCCTGTCTGCACAGTGATGTGAAGGCCAGTGTTACCAGGACTGATTTCCAAACACCTCCACAGAGCCAAACACTGGGCAGAAGAAACAGCCCTGGCGTGAAAATCAATCAACATAAATGGCAAAGAACAATTTAGATTGGAAGTGAGCTTAAAAATAATGTCTTCTGCCTGAACAGTGATGTCTAAACAACCTCCCCAAGAGGGGATGTGAAGGATAAAAAAGGCCACCCTGCATCAACTTCTGAAAAGGAGAGACAAGGATCTTCCTTCCTCTGCTTGCCTTCGTCAATACTGTAGCCCTCACAAAGACTTCTATAATAAACAAACATGCAAAAGGAAATGGAAATGAAAATTGAAATAATAATAACAATAGTAATAGTAATAATAATAATAATAATAATAACCTAACCATTTCAGAGAAGCAAACCCCCAAACTCTGTCTTATAAAGTCTGAACTTCATGCTTTTTTCCTTTCACTGATCAAAATAAACAGTGTTTCTGCTGTGTTTCACAACCAGAAAAGTTGGGTTATTTCACAGAAACTCAGTCACTCCAAGCTTAGGAGAAAACAGGAAAAATACCTTTGCACCACCAACTGGTTTGGCCACATATGTTGCATATGCCACACTCACAATCCTTTCAGCATTAGTCAAAACATCCTGTACTGTCACCTTGATGCCAACCTACAAGGGAGAAGGAAGAAGGTGGTGGGGGAAGGAGACAAAAAAGGGTATTTGCATCATTGTCACTTGATTTGAGACAATACAATGCAGTTTTTATCAGTCCCTTACACCTAAAGGATAAAGGTAAAAAACGTGCTCTAATCACTGATACATCTCTGGTCATCACAATATTCACTCAGCTCTGAAAGGTTTATTAGTACCACAACTTTTATGTTTGTTTAGCATCACTTGTAGGGGAAAATTACAAAAACAGGAAAGACACTTAAATGTAGTTTTATGGATATTTCCTTGCATTTTCTTCTGTGGCATTTGGAGTCCCCACCTGAAGCAGTTTCTATGATCTGTACATGCAAAAAAAGTGTGTTTAGGGGTGCAAAGCACAATGAAGCACTTGAATGTGAAACACTGGATTTGATCCTGTGGCATAGGCCTGACATACATCAAAATTAGTTTTTTTTCTAATTTCTAGAAACTTTTGGAATACATTACCTGTGAGATGCATCACTCCCATTAATAATAATGGGAATTGGACACAGGCACAATGCACAAAAAGCACCCCCAAAAGTTCAGTTCTGATTTGAAGTGATCAGGCAAGGCATTGCATACTGACTGCAGTATGAAAATTAAGATCATTGCAAACCTGAGATATGTACATTTGTATCAGAAGTTTCAAAAATGCTTTGAACTTCACCTGTTCTGTGGATCTGGCCTAGACCAACACCACCAATCCCATCCTGCCCACTACCCCTGCCAAAGGCTTTAATTTTGGGGGGCCCAGGTGCTACTCTGACTTGGATTATTTTACAGGAAACACCCAACTGTACACTCTGAAAGCAGTGCCATTAGGCAGTGTTTTTGTTCAGATATCTGCAAATATCTGGAGCAAATATTTGGCCCCACACTGTGCTCCTCTGCTGCTCCCACCTCTGCTCTATTCCTTCAACATCTTTAGAAAAAAGAGTGATGATGTCTTACCTCCATGCTGGTTTTGAATGCTCTGTTCACCTTTGTTCTGATGGCAATAATTTGTCCAACCCTGTTAAGAAGAGTAAGACCTTACAGCAGGCAAACATGCAGCTTTCTAAGGGCTTCAATCTGCCTCTCTGTGTACTCCTAAAAGTAGTGAAGAACATCTCATTAATCAGTCTGTGTCTTGCACACTGCACTGAGAATTCACTGAAAAAAAGTGAATTTTTCACTGTTTTCTGTTCAACACTGTTATTCTCCAGTCAGACTTGGTCAATAAAATTACAGCCACTTTCACAACCTTAATGGCAACTTTCCTTCTCTCTGCTGGTGTCTGAATGGCAGCAGGTGTGCTCCAGGTACACCCAGAAATTCTGGCTTTTGCTCACAAGCACATCCTGCACCAAATCACTGAGCACATCTAGCTGCAGGAGCTCTCAGATACACTCTACAGGCACCTCTGACACACAGGTATGTGCACATGAGGAGACAGCCCCAGGGAGAAAGTGCTCTTGGACATCTTTAAAGGATGGGGAAAGAGTTCATGTTCCAAGTCTTGGCCAAGAACAGGACTTGTCCCCTCTGTGCTAACACCATCCCTCTGAAAACCACTCTTCCCCATTAACCTATATAAAACATCTAAACAGAATATTTACTTTATTATCTAGTAAAAATTCCAGAGATTCTAGATTACTAGATTATTATCTAGTGTGATTTCATTATATTATGTATTATTTTTACTATGTTTAAAATTTTTATTTCATTATTTATTACTTTTTAAATTCTCCTTACTGTGTCATCAAAACAGATTTAAATGAGGAAATATTTTCTTTCCTTCTGGAATTCCTGAAGCACCTGCTCCATGTTGATAGCAGGAGCAAACCCTGTTTCCAAAGCCCTGAAATCCCAGCCCTAAGCAGTGCTGAGAGGGTGGAAGGAAGGCAGCTTACCCTCAAGTTTTCCCACTGAGCAGGAAGTAAAAGGACACAATGTTCAGGGTAAGCCACAGCCAAAACTGAAGGGTGTCAGGCCACTGCCTCCAGGGAATTCAAACTGAATTACAAATGCTAAAGAGCAGCCCTGGGGCAGGAAAAGTGGAGCTAATTACAGCCAAGACTGAAGTAAAATGTAACTCAGAGCACTTGGGTACTGACAAAAGATTCACAGGAAAGGGTTTTGCACAGTTATTACCCTGGTTTATTTAAAATAATAATAGTAATAATAATAATAGTTGCTTCATAATTTAAATTAATGAATTTGGGACATTTAAAGGTAAAGGCTTACTTAAATTGTTTATTCCACTGCAGAAGTAGAATGGGAAATAGGAAACAGGATACCTGCTCCTCCAGAGGATCTGACAGGAACAACAAACTACACAGCAATTTTCTCTTTCTTGTTCTCACCCAAGAACACAGGTGGAATCCTTTGGTGGACAGGGCAGGGGAAATGGTCAGGGCAAAGAACCAACACCATCTGCAGGTGCACAGCCCTCATTAGCTTCTGCAGAAGATGCTCAGAAGTGGTTTTTGCATTATTCATTGCAAAGAAAAGGCAGAACTGTTAAGGAAATTGTGCCAAACTGCCACCAGCTCCCTCCCAGAAAGGAGAGTGTTCAGAGCTGCAGGTATGCAGGGGCAGAAGTCACACAACACCACACTTCCACCTAAAACTGTCAGAAACTCACCAGAATGAACTGACTATCATTCACATACAAAAGACTAACAAAATATAAAGAAATGCAATTAAAAATCAGATGTAATTGAAAATCAGCACCACTGATTTTCTGTGTATTACAAGGAAAGGAAGAGGTTAGCCTGGTTGAAAGCCAAGTTTTGAACTATACAGATGTGTGACAATTTCTCTTTACATCTCAGCTGAAATAAGCAGAGAGGAGTTAATCCCTGCAGAAGATTTAGTAACCTGGTTTAGGTAAATAAACCTTACAGTAAGCCACTTACTTAAAAACCATCTTATTAATTTACCAGAAAGAGAAGCAAGAACTCTTTAATTTATGCAAAATGTTTGTGTAATGAACTACATCTGGCAAAATTTAGGAAATTGCACAGTAAGATACAAGAAGGATGTTAGGGGTGACCTGGCAGAGAAAAATAATTTCTGAAATAATTTCTTTCACAGTTGCAAGATTTGTACCTGAAATTGTTGTTCCAAATGGAACATTGGTGTTACAAATAGAACATTGGTATTACAAGTGAGAGAAGAAACAGAAACAAATCTGGAAGGAAAAGTATTTTCATCCTATTCCAGAAGCTGTGTTCTGCTCTCAAGAAGCAAGTCAGAAAAGTGCTCTGAAGTTGCTAACTCTGTACTTTTACACCTGAAAGGGAAACACTACCCTGACTTTGATTAGTTTTCACAAATAATATTTTTTTCTAAGGACAAAATTAAAAACACAGAGCAAATCAAGGTAAGACAAACACTTCAATATTGTGAAACAGACCAAGAAATTTTCTTTTGAGTTCCAGATTTTGTATGATCATATTCTCTTCTTTGTCACTGGCTTTAGTTCTTACTCTAATGGACACTGGTCTAACAGTCTCAAGTCTGAGTGGATGCTTATTTTACACTTATCAACAGTTTTAAACTGACATCATCTGGCAGCCAGTGTTGCTTTGTTCACAGCCACAACTGCATGTGCACTGCTCCGTGCAACCAGGCCTATCCCATCTAACCATTCATTAATTCCCAGACTGCCCAGTGTAAAACCACACAAAACCCACAAAGTAAGGGCTTTATGTTTCTGTAAAGGTATGGTTTAGGAATAAAGGTCCTATTTCCTCTTATGGTGCCTTTTATCCCACTGAAAACCATGGAAAATGGTAAAACAAGTTCAGTCCCGTGCTATCTTGTAGACTCAATTAATTCAGTGCTCAGTGAATGTAAAACATTCATCTTTTTTTCTAAAATAGCTGAAAGAAAAAGATGTTAAGAAATGAACTGAAAGAGACCTTGCAACAATAAAAACACTGATAACAGCAAGTTTTATAGGTAGTATTCCTTATTTAACAGAGATAAGCAATGGCCTGCAGCCATTCCCTGGAGCCAGAGACCACTGGGCCATCAGTTTCTCACCAGGCATCTCGACTGCCAAGCCAAGTTAACAGCAGTCTGTTTCTGCCCTGTGAGATGGACCTGCTCTCTGGGTGGGTCAGGCTATCACAGGTGGAAAAGAGCAGTTGTGAGACTTAGCCCTGTGACTGTGGTGAGCTCACGGGTCTGCTATCTCCCATTTATAATGCCTGGGTTTATCTCTGCCAAACAGGAATCTGCAGAGGGAAAAGATCGGACTGTTGTCAGCTGGTTTGTACCTGGCAGCCTCTTCAAACTGAATGTCATCCATGGACGCTGTCACGCAGGACACCCCAGCATGCTTCTCAGCTTCAAAAGAGACACAGGGGCACACAGTTACAAACCAAAGGCGACTCCAGCGAGGGGAGAGAGGACGATGCATCTGACTCCATCATCATGATTTATTACAAAATATGGATATTGATCTAGTACCCATATCCAGCTGTGGGGGACAAAGACTCTTAACAGTTTAAAGTTAGGAAGTGTACGTTTATTGCTATGCTGGGCAGTGTGAGGGATAGCTCCCAAATACACACATCAATTTACAGGTGATTACAGAGTCCTTTTATCCGTACAACCATTGAATACCCAAAATACAAATGCATATTCATAATTTTGGTACATCCCGTTCCCTGCTTCGTATGCTAATTAGTTCAAAAGCTATTAAGCATACGTTGTTTGTTCCTTGAAATGGGTCGGTGGTCCCTTTCATGGGGAGGGGTCCCAAAATGAGGAAGTAAATGAGGTCTTCCTCATCCTGACCACCTTTCTACCATTTCAATGCAAATATGACAAATGAGCCCTTGGTAGAACTCCAATTCCCTGTCTTCAATTGGTTTCAGAACCAATTGAAACTTATGTTTCTAAAAGCTATTTGTCAGTTTCTATATTCTTCATTATAAACCCAGCTAACCAAACATTGTGTTGACAATCCATTATTAGTTAACTACTAGCTCCTAACTTCATCAAGGCCTACCCATTTATTTTCATTAACTCCAATAAAGTTTATCTCTAACTAAAGTCTTAGCTCCTCTAAAATTTCTAAATTCCTTAAAGTTTATGTCTTAATCAGAAGGCTAAATAATTACTTTATTATGCTATACTGCATACATTGAATCTGAAGTGAATCTGCCTTGCACTCACCCTTGCTCACAACTGCACGGAGCTGCTCTCATCTCTGATTCTCCAGTGACTGTCTCGTGACAGTCCCACACACACACACACAACTCTTGGCCCTGACAGGCCAAGGGAACAAAACATCCTCACTTTAGATAAACAATCCCCATATTGCATTCTACTTTGGCACTACACAGGCACAGCAAGTGATAAGAATTATATTTTCTCCTTCTCCGATGCTCAGAGAATGTGAATCCCAGAAATATTCTTGGGAAGAATTGTGTCTTGCTTTTCTCTGTGAGGAAAATGTGGCAGCAGTGACCACTCTGCACCTGCAGGGAGCTATTCACCTGTGGGCTGGTGCCTGACAGGCAGGGACTGCACGCAGCAGATCCCGCTTCTTCCTGCGAGCACCACAATGCAACTCTGCAGTGCGCCCCTTAGGAAAAATGGGAAGCTAAATAAGATTAAAGTTCACACGTTTTATCGTGATTCTGTTGTAAAGGGTGCTCGTATTTATGGGCAACATCAGGAGATGAGACTAGATGATGGCAACTATCTTAGTCTGAAAACCTCCACCTAAGGTCTTTTCCTAAAAATGAACATTCTGGTAAGAGAGCCTTAACAAGCATTTTGAATGACAGGAAGAGTCACAAAGTGCTACCAAGCTCACAGAAAGCTCATCATTCTCCCTCAAAACAATATGTCATGAGCGTCAGCTAGAGCAATGCAGTGGGGAACTTGTAGGTCAGCTGAGGATTCTGAGATGCAGGAGAAAAACCTACTTATTAGTAAGTAAAAACCTTAGCTTATTAGTGCAGTCACAACAGTGGAAAGCAGCTGAGTACATGTCCTTAGTGCTGCACCAAAAATGCAGGAATTAAGTAAAAATAAAAACAAGATTTAGGAAATTCAAAACAAGAATTCACCTGATATAAAATATTTTTAACTATATTTGAACTGTTAGTCATCTCCCTAGGGTACATTTGGCTGTGGAAAAGAACACACACTTTTTGTATTAATTATGAAAGCTAATCTGGAAAAGGTAAATGTCTTATTTACTGTTAATATTTAATCACCTGATAGTTAAGTTTTATAGCAAGTTAATAAGATATATTATTTATTTGACCATAGCACCTAGAGCTTCCAGTCAAAAGGTAAATCTGCAGTGTACTAGGACCTGTATAAACACAGAGAACCTCTGCTCCAAAGTCCTGAGTGACAAAGGCAAGAGAGGGGACCAGCAGGAAGCCTGGAAAATAGCACTGCACAACAGGCAAGAGCTCTCACTCCCAAGCAGCCCCGTGTTTTTAGCGAGCATCACAAGAGGAGCTCAGAGAAATCGGAGGTTTCATATCAAAATCTGAAGAGCTCCCTCTGAAAATTCGAGGGGAAAACACAGTCTTTACTAAAAAAAAAAAAATCACTCCTGAGGGGTTAAAACCCTGAAGGGCTGAAATGGAATCACTCCTTCCTGCGCCAGAAAGAGGCGTGCTCCTTCGGGGCAGCTGCCCCAAGCGTGGCACTGTGTGGTCACCGCTCTGGGCACAGCCAGCCCGGCTCCCCGGCTCCCCGGCAGCCCGGCAGGGGCTCGGGAACGCCGCCAGCCTCGGGAGCGGCTGTGTCGTGCACCGGGATCGCTGCCCGCCGCCGGGCGCTCGCCGTGCTTCCCCCGCAGCCTCACTCACGAGTCACTGGTGCGAGCTGGCGAGCGGGGTTTGGAAGCTTTGGAAGGCGAGAGGCAGGCAGACACGGAGTGTTCTGCGCGCTGGATGGATTTGTGGTTGTTTCACAGAACCGCAGAATCCCAGAATAGTTAGGGCTTGGAAGAGTCCTCTGGAGACCACTTAGTCCAATCCCCTGCCAAGGCAGCGGCACCTTTCCTTCTTTTTGGCACACAAGTGCCAATAATCTTAAATTAGTACTTTCCTTCCTTCTCTTACTTATCTTTTACCACCTCTTTTCTTCCCTTCTGCTGCTCCTTTTTGAAATTCTCCTCATCCTCGTGTTCCCACCACCTTCCTCGCTCTCCCGTGCCATCTGACGCCTCACCCTCGTGGCGTCTGTTCCTAACTGGACCCCAGATCTCCTGGGCTCCGAGAGAGAGACATGGAACTCCTGGAGTGGGTCCAGGGAAGGATACCAGAATGACTGGGGGCCTGGAGCATCCTCCTCACGAGGGAAGGCTGAGCGAGCTGGGTCTGCTCAGCCTCGGGAAGAGATGGGTGACAGGGGCTGTGTGTACAAATCCACGTGTACAAATGTCCAAAAAGGGTGTCAGAGCACGGATCAGGCTCTGCTTGGTGGTGCCCAGCAATGCGACATGAGCCAAGAAGGGAGAATATGATGCCCTGGAAGTTCGATTTGAACATGGAGCTGTGTCAGGCTGGAGAAGAGGGAAAGGTTCTTCCCCCAGAGGGTCGTGGGGCACTGAACAGACACTGCCAGAGCTCCAGGAACAGACACTCCAGGAGCATTTGGACAGCACTCCAGGGATGCCCAGGCTGGGATTGTTGGGGTGTCTGTGCAGGGCAGGGGTGGCGCTGGCTGATCCTGTGCGTCCCTTCCAGCTCAGGGGACTCTGTGATTCTATGATGAAGAACTTTTTCAAGAGCACTGAGCACACTGCCCAGAGAGGGTGTGGAGCGGAGCTCGCCGGTCCCGTCCCAGCAGTGTCTGTACGATCCCGTATCCCGGGCTCTGGGACGACCCCCAGGCGGGACAGGATCACCACTGTGGCCCCTTCCACCCTGTGACCCGGTGCCACCTCCAAAGCCCTCTCTCCCTTCCAGGGGATGACACCTTCCCTCCAGCCTCCCCAGGATAGGGGCCGTCCCCTCCCGCTCCCGGGCGAGCAGGGCCGGGCTCCCCTGGCCGTACCTGCGAGGCAGGCGGCGGCGTCCATCCATTGCAGCAGCGGCCCGGCGCCCAGCTCCCCGCGGGGCCCGGCGTGGGCCGGCAGCACGGCCCGGCACATGTACACAGCCATGGGGGAACGCTGCCCGCTCCGCCCGGCACCGCGGCCAGCGCCTCCGCCTCAGCCATGGGCGGGACCGGCCCGCCCGGCGCCGCGGCATGGGGCGGAATCGCCTCCGCCGGCCTCCCGCGGAGGCGGGACGGGCTGAGGGGAAAGGGAGCTCGGGCTGAGGGGGAAGGGAGCCCGGGGTGAGGGGATGAGGAGAAAGGGAGCTCGGGCTGAAGGGATGAGGGGAAAGGGAGCTTGAGGTGAGGGGATGAGAGGAAAGGGAGCTCGGGCTGAGGGGATGAGGGGAAAGAGAGCCCGGGATGAGGGGGAAGAGAGCTTGAGGTGAGGGGATGAGAGGAAAGGGAGCCCGGAGTGAGGGGAAAGAGAGCCCGGGGTGAGGGGAAAGAGAGCTTGAGGTGAGGGGATGAGAGGAAAGGGAGCCCGGAGTGAGGGGATGAGGGGAAAGGGAGCCCGGGATGAGGGGGAAGAGAGCTTGAGGTGAGGGGATGAGAGGAAAGGGAGCCCGGAGTGAGGGGAAAGAGAGCCCGGGGCGAGGGAATGAAGGGAAAGGGAGCCCGGAGAGAGGGGAAACGGAGCCTGGGAGGATGAAAGAGAACCCGGGGAGAGGGGTAAGGGGTGGCCGGGATGAGGGAAAAGGGGTGCTCGATATGAGGGGAAAAGGAGCCCGGGGTGAGGAATAAAGGGGTACCTGGGATGAAGGAAAGAGTGGGAAGGGGCTGAGGGGAAAGGGGGGCCTGGAATGAGGGGAAAGGGCGTGTGAGGATGCGGGGCCAGGGGTGAGGTGCTGAGGGGAAGAGAAGTGCCTGGAGCTGAGGAGGTTGATGTAGCAGGGGTGAGGGAAAAGGGATGAGAGTAAGTGGGTGTTGGGGATGAGAGGGTGGGGTGTCAGTGCTGAGGGGAATCATGGAGTGGTTTGGGCTGGAAGGGACCTTAAATCCCACCTAGTGCCACCCCTGCCATGGCAGGGACAGCTCCCACTGTCCCAGGCTGCTCCAGCCCCGGTGTCCAGCCTGGCCTTGGGCACTGCCAGGGATCCAGGGGCAGCCACAGCTGCTCTGGGCACCCTGTGCCAGGGCCTGCCCACCCTGCCAGGGAACAATTCCCCATTCCCAAGACCCCATCTCCACCTACTATCTCTGTCCACTAATTTGAAGCCATTCCCACTTGTTCTGCCACTGTCTGCCCTGGTACAAATTCTCTCTTTAGACCCTTTAGGTACTGGAGGGTGCCCTCAGGTCTCCCCGCAGCCTTCACCTCTCCCAGCTGAGCAGTTCCAGTGAGGGGCATTGTGTCCAGGGCACCAGGGACTGGATGTTCCCTCCACTCCTGTCCCAGGACTGCCAAGGTGACCTCACAGCCTGGCAGCAGCCACTGCTAGGTTTGGTGTGTCCATTGTCACTGAAATGCTGATATATCTAGCTGATATTTTCATTTTTATTTCTCTTTTGGAGCCTTGCCCTCTCATGTTGTCACCAACGTGACATCCCAGCAGATGCATCCAGGGCAGACACATTGCCATGCCAGAGGCAGCGGAACCACTGGCACTTCCAGCATGGACATTTGGATTCCCACCTCTGTGGCCACGGCCCTGGTCACATATTCCTGCAGGAGTCAACAGCTCGAGAGCCCACAGAGAGCTCCTTCTCTTACCTCCTCCTCCTCGTATGGCTGGTAAGGATACTGCTGCCCTTGCAATATATGTGAAAATACAAGCTCTGCCGAGGCAGAGCAGAGCAATCACATCGGAGCTGTCGGGAGGGTCATGGTTTTACTTTTGCCATGGATACAGTGTTATTGCTGCTGAAGGCTCAGCCTCTTTGGGGATGCTCAGTACCCGGGCTTGTCAGCTGGTGGTGAGGCAGATCTTTAACTGCCATGTAGCAGAGGGTATAAACTGCTAATGGTTTTCAGGAGAGAATGCGAGGCTTGTATTTGACTATTGTGCTGTGTGGTTTCAATGCAGCAGCAGCACTGTTTTCTGTAGCCCTTCCTTGCAACCTTTCCTCTTGGTAGTTACTGTTCCAGAGAGGGCTTCCCATGTTTCTCAGAAACATACATCCATGAGTTTACATCGTGAACACTTGTTCATTTAAACATTGTTAAAGATCCAGCTTTAAGCTATAACAGCCAGGAAAATTTGAATTTTAACCGAGTTTCTCAGTGCAGTAAGAGTTCTCTTCCCACACGGTCTGTTACTGTCACTGCACTGCTATAGCACTATCTCTGTTTCTATGCACACACTCTTTTTATCAAGCAACACCATGGCTGTATCATCTCACTTGTTACATTTCAGAAGAAACTGGCTCTGAAAATCAGCATGTTGTGCTATTCCCTACATTTATTTTCATTCTGTTGCATTAAAAAAAAAAAAAATTTATACAT